CTTGCTCGGGCAGGCTTCGGCGTTCGTCGTCCCCGGAGTACTAGCTGCCACCGTTGAATGTTTCGATGTTCGTTTGGTTGGGTCTGTCTGTTACACCTGTGTCCGTTTGTGTCTGATTATGTGCCCTATAAGTTTCAGGTGTGGTTGTCGTTAGTTTGTGTGTTATTTTCCGCCTGTCCGTTGGTGTCACCTGTGCAGTACTCTGGACTTTGTTTTTTTTGTGACGCACTGTGTTGCGTTGTTTATACAGTGAGTAAAGTCTTGTTTGACTCAGCCTATGCGTCCTGCGTCTGACTCCTCAACCGCATCCACATCAACACTGACAACACTACCCTACATGTTTATTTGTACAGTGAAGCTAAAACTTTTAATTTGGCTCTATACTCCAACATTTTGGATTTGAGATAAAAAAAATGTCATATGAGACGACAGTACAGAATGCCTTCAAAACATTCTAACCTCTTACCATTACCAATAACAGGGGAGGTTAGCATTTTCAGGGGGTATGATATTTATGCCTCTAACTTTCTCACTCATCATTATTCATGATTCATTCATGATTATCTGTAACCATGGTAACATCTACGTTAATGTAGAAGTGTTCAGAAGTGACTCCAACATGACACAATACATTATTTACCATTCATTTCTATTGGACACAACATAATCCGAAACACAACCAAAACAAACTGCAAATGCATCCAAAACGTTTGTAGAGTCACAAGCTTGATGTAATCATTGCGTGCTAGGAATACGGGACCAAATACTACACTTTTGACTAAATTTAATACACTATGAGTGAATTTGTCCAAATACTTGACACCTTAAAATGGGGGGGACTAGATACATAAAGTGCTTTAATTTCTAAACTGTAAAACAGATATGTATTTAAATACCCTCAAATAAAAGGTGACATTCTGTACTGTCGCCTCATATATTTGATCTCAAATTAAATACTGGAGTATAGAGCCAAATTAATAATCTAATCAAATCTAATTTTATTGGTCGCGTACACATATTTTGCAGATGTTATCGCAGGTGTAGCGAAATACTTCTGTTTCTAGCTCCAGTGCAGTGATACCTAACAATACAAAACAATACACACAAATCCAAAAAAATTAAATGAAAGAAATTAAGAAATATCAGCACGAGTAATGTCAGAGTCCGGAATAACATGACATAGACTGACCAGGTGAATCCAGGTGAAAGCTAGGATCCCTTTTTGATGTCACTTGTTAAATCCACTTCAATCAGTGTAGATGAAGGGGAGGAGACAGGTTAAAGAAGGATTTTTAAGCCTTGAGACAATTGAGACATGGATTGTGTATGTGTGCCATTCAGAGGGTGAATGGGCAAGACAAAAGATTTAAGTGCCTTTGAACGGGGTATGAGAGTAGGTGACAGGCGCACCGATTTGTGTGCTATGCTGCTGGGTATTTCATAATCAACAGTTTCCTGTGTGTATCAAGAATGGTCCACCAACCAAAGGACATCCAGCCAACTTGACACAACTGTGGGAAAAATTGGAGACAACATGTGCCAGCATCCCTGTGGAACGCTTTCGACACCTTGTAGAGTCCATGCCCCGACAAATTGAGGCTGTTCTGAGGGCAAAAGGGTGGGTGCAACTCAATATTAGGGAAGGTGTTCCTAATGTTTTGTATAGTCAGTGTAAATATATATATACACTACCCATCAAAAGTTTGGACACACCTACTCATTCAAGGGTTTTTCTTAATTTTTTACTATTTTCTACATTGTACAATAGTAGTGAAGACATCACAACTATGAAATAACACATATGGAATCATGTAGTAACCAAAAAAGTATTAAACAAATCAAAATATATTTTATATTTGAGTCTCTTCAAAGTAGCCACCCTTTGCCTTGATGACAGCTTTGCACACTCTTGGCATTCTCTCAACCAGCTTCATCTGGAATGCTTTTCCAACAGTCTTGAAGGAGTTCCCACATATGCTGAGCACTTTTTGGCTGCTTTTCCTTCACTCTGCGTGTAGGCACTACATGATTCCATATGTGTTATTTCATAGTTTTGATGTCTTCATTACTATTGTACAATGTAGAAAATAGTAAAAAATTAAGAAAAACCCTTGAATGAGTAGGTGTGTCCAAACTTTTGATGGGTAGTGTATATATATATATATATATATATATATATATATAAAAAAAGGATATTGTAAAGTGGTTATCCCACTGGCTATAGGGTGAATGCACCTATTTGTAAGTCGCTCTGGATAAGAGCGTCTGCTAAATGACGTAAATGTAAATGTAAATGTCTTCACTATTATTCTGCAATGTAGAAAATAGTAAAAATAAAGAAAAACCCTTGAACGAGTAGGTGTGTCCAAACTTTTGACTGGGACTGTGTATATATACCACTACCGTTCAAAAGTTTGGGGTCACTTAGAAATGTCCTTGTTTTCGAAAGAAAAGCATTTTTTTTGTCCATTAAAATAACATAAAATTGATCAGAAATACAGTGTAGACATTGTTAATGTTGTAAATGGCTATTGTAGCTGGAAACGGCTGATTTTTTAAATGGAATATCTACATAGGCATACAGAGGCCCATTATCAGCAACCATCAGTCCTGTGTTCCAATGGCACGTTGTGTTTGCTAATCCAAGTTGATCATTTTTAAAAGGCTAATTGATCATCAGAAAACCCTTTTGTTAGTTAGTAACACTTTAGTAGACGCTCTTATCCAGAGCGACTTACAGGAGCAATTAGGGTTAAGTGCCTTGCTCAAGGGCACAGGGTATTTCTGATCAATTTGATGTTATTTTAATGGTAAAAAAAAAAGATTTTCTTTCGAAAACAAGGACATTTCTAAGTGACCCCAAACATTTGAACGGTAGTGTATATATAAATATAATGGCGGGTAAGACAGTATGGACAGTATATGAATAGAAAATGTGTGTACAGCAGTAGTTATATACAATAGGAGGAGCCTTGACTAGAATACAGTATGAAGTGGGTAAAACAGTATGTAAACATTTATTACAGTGACCAGTGGTCCATGACTATGTACATAGGACAGCAGTCTCTAAGGTGCAGGGCAGAGTACCCGGTGATAGCCGGATAGTAGCAGTGACTAAGGTTCAGGGCAGGGTACAGTGCGGAGGCCGGCTAGTGGTGACTGTTTAACAGTCTAATGGCCTGGAGATAGAAGCTGTCTCTCGGTCCCAGCTTTGATGTAGCTGTACTGTCTCCACCTTCTAGATGGTAACAGGCCGTGGCTCGGTTGGCTGAGGTCCTTGATGATCGTCTTGGCTTTCCTGTGACACCAGGTGCTGTAGATGTCCTGGAGGGCAGGCATTGTTTTAGCTTCACTGTCCAAATAAATACGTAGGGGATTGTATCTGCTTTTACAAACCAAAACCCAAGTCTTATTTGACGCCCTGTACTGTTCATACTGTACATTATTTGTGTTGGTCTGTTGACCTGTTGGTTAACTTTGCCAGGGCGTTCACGGTTCCCCGCCCCTGGAGTAGTGTAGTGTGGTGGAGTCAATGTAGTATTGCTGTAATATATATTAGTTATGGCCCATGTGGGGGCAATTGAAAAAGTATAATATGTCTGTAAGAGTTGGTTGTCTAGGGGTGGAAGAAGTAGGGGGGCAGAGGGGAAAGACATAAAAAAAAAGGAACAAGGGGAAACAAGAAAGAGATAGCTCGTTTACAGATCGATTTTTTTTTGGGGGGGGGGGAAAAAAAGGGGGGGGGGAAAAAAAAAAAGGGGGGGAAAAAAAGGGGAACAGGTCCCGGGGAAAGGGGGGGTTTAAATCGTCCCAAAAAATGGGGCAAAAAAAAAAAAAGGGGTTTAAAAAGACCCAAAAAAAAAAAAAAAAAAAAAAGGAAAAAAACAAAAAACCCAAAAAACCCAAAAAAAAAAGAAAAAAAAAAACCCCAAAAAATTTGAAAAAAAAAAAAGAAAAAAAAAGAAGCCGGGGGAAAGGGGAAAAAGAAAACAAAAAAAGAAAAAAAAAAAAGGGGAAAAAAAAAAAAAAAAAGAGAAAAAAGGGAGGAAAAAAAAAGGGGGGAAAAAGAAAGAAGAGAGAGAGAGAGAGAGAGAGAGAGAGAGAGGAGAGAAGAGTGAGAGAGAGAGAGAGAGAGATAGAGAGAGATAGAGAAAAGGGGTAAAGGCCAAAAAGCAAGAAAGAGAAAAAAGAAGAGCGAGAGAGCGCGAGCCTAGAGAGAGATCGAGAAATACAGCTATCTCGATCTAGGAGCGAGAGTGGAAAGAGGAAAATACAAGCCAGAGAAACTCTCTCTCGAGCTCTCGAAAGTTCTTGTCCATCTTCCCCATAATCCCTCTCTCTCCCTGCGATCTCTATCTCAAGCTCTGTCCCTCTCCCCACACCCTACCTCTCCACTCTATCTCTCACTCTCTGTCCCTCTCCCCCACCCTCCCTTTCCCTCTCTCTCTCGCTCTCTGAATTCCTAAGGGATTTTTCATAGTTTTTCGGACAGAATGCTTGCCGGCCCTGAGGGATTGGTCAGGGCTCAAGACTCTCACCCTTCTCTCTTCCTGTGGCGTCCGCTCCACTCAGCCCCTCGCCCTAAAATGGAGCTGGTTGCGTCATCAGCCTCAGTGTGACTCGCAGGAGGTGGAGGGTTCAGTTAAAACCCTACACACTAGGGAAACCATTCAGTTTCCTTCCTGGATTACAGCTGTGAACAGACCACAGACCTTCCTCTCTCTCTCCATTCTTACCATCCATTCCTCTCTTCACGGCTCCTCCACCCCTCTCTCTCCATTCTTCCAATCCTCTCTCCACTCGCTGCTCTCCTTGGTGATCCCCGATCCACTCCTCTCTGGTGCTCCACTCCTCTCTGGTGCTCCATTCCTCCTGTGGTAGGGGCGATGTGCTCCATAGGTTTTGTGCGGTCGCTGGGCTTTGCCCTCCTGCCCCTGGCGGTGTGCTGTATTGTGGCCAACGTTCTGCTGTTCTTCCCCGGAGGAGAGATCCAATATGTCCAACAGGAGAGACTGTCCAGGCTGGTCTGGTTCATGATGGGCATCGGAGGGGGAGGCGCGTTGGTGAGTAACAATATGTCACTCTGTTGTCACTACACCAGCTACAGTTGTAGTACCGTTGAGCCGATGGTTTACGGGTCAGTTTAACAAGCGGTTCAGGGAACAAAAGGTAGAATAAAAGATCAAGATAATCAAGAGAACTTTAGAGAAGTCATAATAGTTTTATCTCTTGGTCTTGTATTTCCTTTCTGATAATAACACATGCTAATCTGAATCAGGTGCTAATCTGACACAGGTGCTAATCTGACACAGGTGCTAATCTGACACAGGTGCTAATCTGACACAGGTGCTAATCTGACACAGGTGCTAATCTGACTTTAGTAAATCCATGTGTGTAATGAATGAATCTGTTGCTGTAAGAGGGCAGGGTTGAGCCTGACAGGGATGTATCATGGATGTTTTGACCTTTTAAACTGAACTCCCTCAGCTGTTCTCCTTCCTGTGGAGATACTATAGGACACAAAGGGAAATGGCTGTCAACATACCCTAGGAGTGTTATTTAACCTGACACCTACAGTAGAGTGGGAATTAGCCACCATTTAATGAACCTGTTCTATGGACCATCTTTTTGTGATTAACGATAGTTGTTCAGTAAAATACAGTGGTACAACAGCAGAGCTCTTGAGGATATTGTATGTAGATGGTGGATTGATGCACTGAAATATCACACTGCGGCAGAACCTGAGATTTCCCCGTTGTGTGTCTCTGTAGATGTTCCTGCCTGCTGGGGTTTTCATCAGCCTGGGGAAATGTACAGGCCGCTGTTGGAACGAAAGCTTCATGGTCAGTACTGATGCTTTGGTTACTTCTTGTCATTAGGGCCCTGTGTTTTGTGAGATCATGTGACACGCCTGGATTTTGACCTTTATTTAAAGCTTTTTCATCAAACTGTACCCTTTTCTTTTCATGTCAGATGGTCCAGCTCCATCCTCAGAAAATTGCCTTCATTTCTGGTGGAATTCTCATTTCTGGATCAGGCTTCAAATATAAGATAAAATCTTGCTATGTCACATGATCGCGCAAAACACACATTTATGATTTCAGCCAGTGGTTCTATTATTATTGCGAAAAGCAGAGGTAATAGGGGTCAGCCTTCTCGTGTTCTTCAGGACAGAGGGTAGTGGTTTGAAAGTAAATCGTTAAAGTAAGTTAGTGGATGTTTTTTGTCTTTGATCCTATTAATATAATCACAGATGTTGCAAAGGTCAATTTTAACACTGTGCTAAGCTAATGCAGAAGCTAATGGGCCCATGAAAGGTAGGCTATGCTTAGCTAATTATACAGTTGAAGTCGGAAGTTTACATTCACTTAGGTTGGAGTCATTCAAACTTGTTTTTCAACCACTCAACAAATTTATCTTTAACAAACTATAGTTTTGGCAAGTCGGTTAGGACATCTACTTTGTGCATGACAAAAGTAATTTTTCCAACAATTGTTTACAGACAGATTATTTCACTTATAATTCACTGTATCACAATTCCAGTGGGTCAGAAGTTTACATACATGAAGTTGACTGTGCCTTTAAACAGCTTTGAAAATTCCAGAAAATGATGTAATGGCTTTAGAAGCTTCTGATAAGCTAATTGACATAATTTGAGTCAATTGGAGGTGTACCTGTGGATGTATTTCAAGGCCTACCTTCAAACTCATGGGAAAATCAAAAATAAATCAGCCAAGACCTCAGAAAAAAAATCGTAGACCTCCACAAGTCTGGTTCATCCTTGGGAGCAATTTCCAAATGCCTGAAGGTACCACGTTCATCTGTTCAAACAATAGTACGCAAGTATAAACACCATGGGACCACGCAGCCGTCATACCGCTCAGGAAGGAGACGCGTTCTGTCTCCTAGAGATGAACATACTTTGGTGCGAAAAGTGCAAATCAATCCCAGAACAACAGCAAAGGACCTTGTGAAGATGCTGGAGGAAACAGGTACAAAAGTATCTATATCCACAGTAAAACGAGTCCTATATCGACATAACCTGAAAGGCCGCTCAGCAAGGAAGAAGCCACTGCTCCAAAACCACCATAAAAAGCCAGACTACGGTTTGCAACTGCACATGGGGAGAAAGATCGTACTTTTTGGAGAAATGTCCTCTGGTCTGATTAAACAAAAATAGAACTGTTTGGCCATAATGACCATCGTTATGTTTGGAGGAAAAAGGGGGGCCTTGCAAGCCGAAGAACACCATCCCAACCGTGAAGAACGGGGTTGGCAGCATCATGCTGTGGGGGTGCTTTGCTGCAGGAGGGACTGGTGCACTTCACAAAATACATGGCATGATGAGGAAGGAAAATTATGTGGATATATTGAAGCAACATCTCAAGACATCAGTCAGGAAGTTAAAGCTTGGTCGCAAATGGGTCTTCCAAATGGACAATGACCCCAAGCGTACTTCCAAAGTTGTGGCAAAATGGCTTAAGGACAACAAAGTCAAGGTATTGGAGTGGCCATCACAAAGCCCTGACCTGGGCAGAACTGAAAAAGCGTGTGCGAGCAAGGAGGCCTACAAACCTGACTCAGTTACACCAGCTCTGTCAGGAGGAATGGGACAAAATTCACCCAACTTATTGTGGGAAGCTTGTGGAAGGCTACCCGAAACACTTGACCCAAGTTAAACAATTTAAAGGCAATGCTACCAAATACTAATTGAGTGTATGTAAACTTCTGACCCACTGGGAATGTGATGTAATAAATAAAAGCTGAAATAAATCATTCTCTCTACTATTATTCTGACATTTCACATTCTTAAAATAAAGTGGTGATCCTAACTGACCTAAGACAGGGAATTTTTACTAGGATTAAATGTCAGGAATTGTGAAAAACTGAGTTTAAATGTATTTGGCTAAGCTGTATGTAAACTTCAGACTTCAACTGTACATAGGGCCATTGTAACACTATTAGCAGGTACAATAATGATATGAGGAGGAGGCTTCACCATCAGGGATTACAAAGCATCTGGGCCGGGAAGAGGAGCTGAACCTTATGTGTGTATAAGATGTTTTGTAACAGTGATAAGCCAACATTTCTCCTCACACACCCACACACTTCTCTCATGGAGATTGTTATGCAGCTGGTTTGGGTGTAACGGGCAGGCCTGAACTGTGTGCGTGTGTGTGTGTGTGTGTGTGTGTGAGTGAGTGTGTGTGTGTGGTGTGTGTGTGTGTGTGTGTGTGTGTGAGTGTGAGAGTGAGTGTGTGTGTGTGGTGTGTGTGTGTGTGTGTGTGTGAGTGTGAGAGTGAGTGTGTGTGTGTGGTGTGTGTGTGTGTGTGTGAGTGTGAGTGTGAGTGTGTGAGACAGATAGTTTATATATATGTGTGTATACAGTATATACTAATGGTTTATATATGTGTATTATAGATGTGTACTATATATGTGCATTACAGATGTGTATTATAGATATGTACTATAGATGTGTGTGTGTGTACTATTGATGTGTGCTATAGACGTGTATTATAGATGTGTACTATCCATGTGTACTATATATGTGTCCTAAATATGTGTACTACATATGTGTACTATAGATGTGTACTATATATGTGTATTATAGATGTGTACTATATAAGTGTACTATAGATGTGTACTATAGATGTGTACTATATATGTGTATTATAGATGTGTACTATATATGTGTATTATTGATGTGTACTATAGACGTGTACAATAGATGTGTACTATATATGTGTATTATAGATGTGTACTATATAAGTGTACTATAGATGTGTACTATAGATGTGTACTATATATGTGTATTATTGATGTGTACTATAGACGTGTACAATAGATGTGTACTATATATGTGTATTATAGATGTGTACTATACATGTGTAATATATGTGTATTATCGATGTGTACTATATATGTGTACTATAGATGTGTGTGTGTGTGTGTGTACTATAGATGTGTACTATATACACTACCGTTCAAAAGTTTGGGGTCACTTAGAAATGTCCTTGTTTTCCATTAAAACATACATGAAATGAGTTTGAATAGGAAATATTGCAAAATGAATAGGAAATGTAGTCATTGACAAGGTTAGAAATAATTATTTTTAATTGAAATAATAATTGTGTCCTTCAAACTTTGCTTTCGTCAAAGAAACCTTGCAGACCTTTGGCATTCTAGTTGTCAATTTGTTGAGGTAATCTGAAGAGATTTCACCCCATGCTTCCTGAAGCACCTCCCACAAGTTGGATTGTCTTGATGGGCACTTCTTATGTACCATACGGTCAAGCTGCTCCCACAACAGCTCAATAGGGTTGATATCCGGTGACTGTGCTGGCCACTCCATTATAGACAGAATACCAGCTGACTGCTTCTTCCCTAAATAGTTATTGCATAGTTTGCAGCTGTGCTTTGGGTCATTGTCCTGTTGTAGGAGGAAATTGGCCCCAATCAAGCGCGTTCCACAGGGTATGGTATGGCGTTACAAAATGGAGTGATAGCCTTCCTTCTTCAAGATCCCTTTTATCCTGTACAAGTCTCCCACTTTACCACCACCAAAGCACCCCCAGACCATCACATTGCCTCCACCATGCTTGACAGATGGCATCAAGCACTCCTCCAGCATCTTTTCATTTGGTCTGCATCTCACAAATGTTATTCTTTGTGTCTATAACACTTTTTTCCAATCTTCCTCTCTCCAGTGTCTGTGTTATTTTGCCCATCTGAATCTTTTCTTTTTATTGGCCAGTCTGAGATATGGCTTTTTCTTTGCAACTCTGCCTAGAAGGTCAGCATCCCGGAGTCACCTCTTCACTGTTGACGTTGGGACTGGTGTTTTGCAGGTACTATTTAATGAAGCTGCCAGTTGAGGACCTGTGAGGCGTCTGGTTCTCAAACTAGACACTAATGTATTTGTCCTCTTGCTCAGTTGTGCACCGGGGACTCCCACTCCTCTTTCTATTCTGGTTAGAGACAGTTTGCGCTGTTCTGTGAAGGGAGTAGTACACAGTGTTGTACGAGATCTTCAGTTTCTTGGCAGTTTCTCGCTTGGAATAGCCTTCATTTCTCAGAACAAGAATAGACTGATGAGTTTCAGAAGAAAATTATTTGTTTCTGGCCATTTTGAGCCTGTAATCAAACCCACAATTGCTGATGCTCCAGATACTCAACTAGTCTCAAGAAGGCCAGTTTTATTGTATACACAACAGTTTTCAGCTGTGCTAACATAATTGCAAAAGGGTTTTCTAATGATCAATTAGCCTTTTAAAATGATAAACTTGGATTAGCAAACACAACGTGCCATTGGAACACAGGACTGATGGTGGCTGATAATGGGCCTCTGTACGCCTATGTAGATATTCCATAAAAAAATCAGCCGTTTCCAGCTACAATAGCCATTTACAACATTAACAATGTCTACACTGTATTTCTGATCAATTTGATGTTATTTTAATGGACCAACATTTTTATTTTCTTTCGAAAACAAGGACATTTCTAAGTGACCCCAAACATTTGAATGGTAGTGTATGTGTATTATAGATGTGTATTGTATATGTGTACTGTGGATGTGTATTATATATGTGTATTATATATGTGTACTATATATGCGTATTATAGATGTGTACTATATATGTGTATTATATATGTGTACTCTAGATGTGTGTTATATATGTGTAATATATATGTGTATTATATACGTGTATTATATATGTGTATTATAGATGTGTACTCTAGATGTGTGTTATATATGTGTAATATATATATATGTATTATATATGTGTATTATAGATAGGTATTATATATGTGTACTATAGATGTGTGTTATATATGTGTATTATAGATCTGTGTTATATATGTGTATTATAGATGTGTATTATAGATGTGTACTATATATGTATTATATATGTGTATTATATATGTGTATTATAGATGTGTATTATATATGTGTACTATATATGTGTATTATATATGTGTACTATAGATGTGTATTATATATGTGTATTATAGATGTGTGTGTGTGTGTTACAGATGTGTGGGTTAGTCATGGCAGCGCTAGTTGGGCTGGCCGGGTCGGGGTACTGTTTCGTCATCTCTGTCATGGCCATGTTAGAGGGGCCTCAATGCAACAACGCTCAAGGATGGTCCTATCCCTTCGCCAACCAGGGAGGAAGGTTAGTTCCACCCTCCTTTCAAAGGAAATATATTCTGGAAATATTATAGCTATTAAGGTTTCTTTAAGTTTTCCAAAAATGCATTGGAAACAAACGTCTGTGTTTTTCTGTTTTGCGTGTGTGTGTGTGTGTTTGTGTGTGTCCATTTTCTATTGGGGGGTTGTGTGTACAGCAGTGTTCAAATCAAATCAAATTGTATTTGTCACATGCTCGGTAAACAACAGGTGTAGACTAACAGTGAAATGCTTACTGAGGGGTCCTTTTCCAACAATGTAGAGTTAAAGACACACTAGAAATAGTGACACGAGGAATAAATCCACAATGAGTAACAACAACATGGCTACAGAGCATTTGGAAAGTATTCAGACCGCTTGACTTTTTCCACATCCTCATCAATACCCCATAATGACAATACCCCAAAAAGACAGAAATACCTTATTTACAAAAGTATTCAGACCCTTCGCTATGAGACTCGAAATTGAGCTCAGGTGCGTCCTGTTTCCATTGATCATCCTTGAGATGTTTCTACAACTTGATTGGATTCCACCTGTGGTAAATTACATTGATTGGACATGATTTGGAAAGGCACACACCTGTCTATATAAGGTCCCACAGATGACAGTGCATGTCAGAGCGAAAACCAAGCCATGAGGTCGAAGCTATTGTCCATAGAGCTCCGAGACAGGATTGTGTCGAGGCACAGATCTGGGGAAGGGTACCAAAAAATGTCTGCAGCATTGAAGGTCCTCAAGAACACAGTGGCCATCATTCTTAAATGGAAGAAATGTGGAACTACCAAGACACTTCCTACAGCTGGCCGCCCAGCCAAACTGAGCAATCGGGGGAGAAGGGCCTTGGTCAGGGAGGTGACCAAGAACCTGATGGTCACTCTGACAGAGCTCCAGAGTTCCTCTGTGGAGATAGGAGAACCTATCAGAAGGACAACCATCTCTACAGCACTCCACCAATCAGGCCTTTATGGTAGAGTGGCCAGACGGAAGCCGCTCCTCAGTAAAAGGCACATGACAGCCCGCTTGGAGTTTGCCAAAAGGCACCTAAAAGACTCTCAGACCATGAGAAACAAGATTCTCTGGTCAGATGAAACCAAAGTTGAACTCTTTGGCCTGAATGCCAAGCATCACGTCTGGAGGAAACCTGGCACCATCCCTACAGTGAAGCTTGGTGGTGGCAGCATCATGCTGTGGGGATGTTTTTCAGTGGCAGGGACTTGGAGACTCGTCAGGATCAAGGGAAAGATTAATGGAGCAAAGTACAGAGAGATCCTTGATGAAAACATGCTCCAGAGCGCTCACAATCTCAGACTGGGGCAAAGGTTCACCTTCCAACAGGACAACGACCCTTAGCACACAGCCAAGACAATGCAGGAGTAGCTTCGGGACAAGTCTCTGAATGTCCTCGAGTGGCCCAGCCAGAGCCCAGACTTGAACCCGATCGAACATCTCTGGAGAGACCTGAAAATAGCTGTGCAGCGACGCTCCCCATCCAACCTGACAGAGCTTGAGAGGATTTGCAGAGAAGAATGGGAGAAACTCCACAAATAAGGTGTGGATTCAAGTCCGGGTTCTGGCTGGGCCACTCAAGGACATTCAGAGACTTGTCCCGAAGCCACTTGGCTGTGTGCTTAGGGTCGTTGTCCTGTTGGAAAGTGAACCTTCACCCCAGTCTGAGGTCCTGAGCACTCTGGAGCAGGTTTTCATCAAGGATCTCTCTGTACTTTGCTGCATTCATCTTTCCCTTGATCCTGACTAGCCTCCCAGTCCATGCTGCTGAAAAACATCCCCACAGCATGATGCTGCCACCACCAAGCATCACCGTAGGGATGGTGCCATGTTTCCTCCAGACGTGACGCTTGGCATTCAGGCCAAAGAGTTCAATCTTGGTTTCATCAGACCAGATAATCTTGTTCCTCGTGGTCTGAGAGTCTTTAGGTGCCTTTTGGCAAACTCCAAGCAGGCTGTCATGTGCCATTTACTGAGTAGTGGCTTCCGTCTGGCCACTCTACCATAAAGGCCTGATTGGTGGAGTGCTGCAGAGATGGTTGTCCTTCTGGAAGGTTCTCCCATCTCCACAGAGGAACTCTGGAGCACTGTCAGAGTGACCATCGGGTTCTTGGTCACCTCCCTGACCAAGGCCCTTCTCCCCCGATTGCTCAGTTTGGCCGGGCGGCCAACTCTAGGAAGAGTCTTGGTGGTTCTAAACTTCTTCCATTTAAGAATGATGGAGGCCACTGTGTTCCTGGGGACCTTCAATGCTCCAGAAATGTTTTGGTACCCTTCCCCAGATCAGGTGCCTCGACACAATCTTGTCTCGGAGCTCTACGGAAAATTCCTTCGACCTCATGGCTTGATTTTTGCTCTGACATAACTGTCATCTGTGGGACCTTATATAGACAGGTGTGTGCCTTTCCAAATCATGTCCAATCAATTGAATTTACCACAGGTGGACTCCAATCAAGTTGTAGAAACATCTCAAGGATGATCAATGGAAACAGGATGCACCTGAGCTCCATTTCGAGTCTCGTAGCAAAGGGTCTGAATATTTATGTAAATCGGGGATTTCTGTTTTTTATTTTTAATATATTTGCAAACATTTCGAAAAACCTGTTTTCGCTTTGTCTTTATGGGGTATTATGTGTAGATTGATGAGGAACATGTTTTATTTAATCCATTTTAGAATAAAGCTGTAATGTAACAAAATGTGGAAAAAGTCAAGGGGTCTGAATACTTTCCGAATGCACTGTATAGTGTATTTTGCAATCTGTTTGGCACAGCTGTCAATTTTTTGGTCCTTAAATTAAACTAGTATGCTTTTGTATTAATCACAATTGTCTTTAACCAATTTTGGTCTTTAATGCAGAGTCGACAGACAAGTTCCTTACTTTCTCCCCCTTCCACTGGCCTCTTCTATTTTCCAATTAGCTGGTTGTAATTTTGGATAGATCATTTTGCATATATAAAACTGCATGTGTGACATAACTCCACCAGTCCTATTTATGATATAATTTACAAAGATTAGAAACGTTTTCCCCCAAATATTATGTTTAATATATATATATATAGTATATTCGAGTTTAACCATAATATTTGTTGTAATATTTGTTCTGTCTTTTCTGGTGGATTAAACATAGCAATATTTTGGAGATTATTTCATTTTCAAATAACCGAAAGTGAGAGGTTGTAATCTGAATAAATGGAAAAAGGCCATTCTTGAACATGGGGTGAGCCATACTTACAATCTGCTAGAGAACCAGTTCGGATTTAACATCACTTTAGTAAATACTACAGTATTATCCACAAAAACATCACTTTAATAAATACTACAGTATTATCCACAAATAAAGCACTTTAATAAATACTACAGTATTGTCCGGAATAAAAATAAAAACAGGTAAGCCAGTTGAGAACAGGTTCTCATTTACAACTGCGACCTGGCCAAGATAAAGCATAGTAGTGCAATAAAACAACAACACAGAGTTACATATGGGGTAAAAAACATAAAGTCAGAAATACAACAGAAAATATATATACAGTGTGTGCAAATGTAGCAAGTTATGGAGGTAAGGCAATAAATAGGCTATAGTGCAGAATAATTACAATAGTATTAACACTGGAATGCTAGATGTGCAAGAGATTATGTGCAAATAGAGATACTGGGGTGCAAATGAGCAAAATAAATAACAATATAGGGATGAGGTAGTTGGGTGGGCTAATTTCAGATGGGCTGTGTACAGGTGCAGTGATCGGTAAGGTGCTCTGACAACTGATGCTTAAAGTTATTGAGGGAGATAAGAGTCTCCAGCTTCAGAGATTTTTGCAATTCGTTCCAGTCATTGGCAGCAGATAACTGGAAGGAATGGCGGCCAAAGGAGGTGTTGGCTTTGGGAATGACCAGTGAGATATACCTGCTGGAGCGCAGACTAAAAAACATGTTCACCCTGTCCTTCCCCCCCCATATCGCAATTTGTGGCAACCATAAGTGAAAAACCTACATGCCAAGTATAGACCATATATTGTGTTCCATTCAGGTTGTAGGAAAGATAAGAATCTCTGTACTATCTGGTCAGACCCCAGACCTACCTACCTACCTACCTACCTACCTACCTACCTACCTACCTACCTACCTACCTACCTACCTACCTACCTACCTACCTACCTACAGGCAGTGGTGGAAAAAGTACCCAATTGTCATACTTGAGTAAAAGTATAGATACCTTAATAGAAAGTTACTCAAGTAAAAATAAGTCACCCAGTAAAATACTACTTGAGTACAAGTATTTGGTTCTAAATACACTTAAGTATTTTTAAGTAAATGTAATTGCTAAAATATACTTAAGTATCAAAAGTAAAAGTACAAGTATAAATCATTTCAAATTCCTTCTATTAAGCAAAGCAGGAGGCACCATTTTCTTGTTTTTAACATGTACGGATAGCCAGGGGCACACTCCAACACTCAGACATCATTTACAAAAGATGCATTTGTGTTTAGTGAGTCCGCCAGATCAGAGGCAGAAGGGATGACCATGTGTTGTCTTGATAAGTGTGTGAATTGGACCATTTTCCTGTCCTGATAAGCATTCAAAATGTAACAAGTACTTCTGGGTATCAGGTAAAGTGTATGGAGTAAAAAGTACATCATTTTCTTTAGGAATGTAATGAAGGAAAAGTTGTCAAAAATATAAATAGTGCAGTAAAGATTAAAAAAACCCCGACTAAAGTAGTACTTTAAAGTATTTTTACTTAAGTACTTTACACCACTACCTACAGTCTATGGAGAATGTGTTATTTTAGTATTTCTACAGTAGGTTTCCTGAAGGAGAAAGCCTCCACTTCTATGTCAAAGATAATAAAACAAAAACAGTTTGTAAATACTACAGTAATGTCTGCAAAAATACTACAGTAAATACTACATTATAATACAATCTGCAAAAACACTACATTAATTACTATAGTATACACTACAGTTTTATTTTACTACAGTATTTATACTATAGTTAACTTTAAATACTACAGTATACTACAGTAACTACTACAGTATTCACTGTAGTGTTTCTACTGACTTTAGTCCGCAAAAACACAACAGTGAATACTACACTAAAGTATGCAAAAACACTACAGTGAATAGTATAGTATTTATACCATAGCATACTATAGTATTTTTTCATGTGGGTATTGTCTATTCTTTTTGCAAAAGAAGTAGTGTGTAGTTCCAATAGTTAGCTACAATGCTACATGGCAGAAAAGTAATTAACTACTGAAAACACTACCTAGGTTTAAATGTAGTTTACAGAGCTACTGAAAGTAGCTAACTGTAAAAATGTACTGAGTACTGAAATAGTTTAACTCCTCACAATTCTAGTTCACTGCATAATGTTACACAATAACAGAGGGAAAAAGTATTGACACCCTGCTGATTTTACGTTGCCCAACAAAGAAATGATCAGTCATATTTAAACTTAAACGTGATAGAAAGCAATAAAGACAACAAAATACAGAAGCAAAATACAGTGAGGGAAAAAAAGTATTTGACCCCTGCAATGAAAGTTTTGTACAGTGTCTTTTTGTGGTGGATTAGGGCACACTTAAAGAAATGATCAGTCTATTTATTTTAATGGTAGGTTATTTGAACAGTGAGAGACAGAATAACACAAAAAAATCCAGAAGAAAAACGCATGTCAGAAAGAAATTTTATAAATTTATTTGCATTTTAATGAGGGAAATAAGTATTTGACTCCCTCAGCTGGGGCTCCATGCACGATCTCACCTCGTGGAGTTTGCAATGATCATGAGAACGTGAGGAATCAGCCACAGAAATACACGGGAGGATCTTGTCAATGATCTCAAGGGCAGCTGGGGACCATTAGTCCACCAAGAAAACAATTGGTAACACACTACGCCGTGAAGGACTGAAATCCTGCAGCGCCCGCAAGATCCCCCTGCTCAAGAAAGCACATATACAGGGCCGTCTGAAGTTTGCCAATGAACATCTGAATGATTCAGAGGAGAATTGGGTGAAAGTGTTGTGGTCAGATGAGACCAAAATCGAGCTCTTTGCCATCAACTCAACTCGCCGTGTTTGGAGGAGGAGGAATGCTGCCTATGACCCCAAGAACAACATCCCCACCGTCAAACATGGAGGTGGAAACATTATGCTTTGCGGGTGTTTTTCTGCTAAAGGGACAGGACAACTTCACCGCATCAAAGGGACAATGGACGGGGCCATGTACCGTCAAATCTTGGGTGAGAACCTCCTTCCCTCAGTCAGGGCATTGAAAATGGGTCGTGGATGGGTATTCCAGCTTGACAATGACCCAAAACACATGGCCAAGGCAACAAAGGAGTGGCTCAAGAAGAAGCACATTAAGGTCCTGGAGTGGCCTAGCCAGTCTCCAGACCTTAATCCCATAGAAAATCTGTGGAGGGAGCTGAAGGTTCGAGTTGCCAAACGTCAGCCTCGAAACCTTAATGACTTGGAGAAGATCTGCAAAGAGGAGTGGAACAAAATCCCTCCTGAGATGTGTGCAAACCTGGTGGCCAACTACAAGAAACGTCTGACCTCTGTGATTGCCAACAAGGGTTTTGCCACCAAGTACTAAGTCATGTTTTGCAGAGGGGTCAAATACTTATTTCCCTCATTAAAATGCAAATCCATTTATAACATTTTTGACATAAATTGCATTTTTCTGGATTTTGTTGTTGTTATTCTGTCTCTCACTGTTCAAATAAACCTACCATTAAAATTATAGACTGATCATGTCTTTGTCAGTGGGCAAACGTACAAAATCAGCAGGGGATCAAATACTTTTTCCCCCCTCACTGTATACAATACTACCAATACTACACAACATATACACAACTTTCCCACTGTGTTTGTCCACAGGTACCTGTTTGAGCAGGAGACGTGGTCTAAGTGTTTTCATCCCATCAGCATCGTGGAGTGGAACGTGACTCTGCTCTCCATCCTGCTGGGGCTCAGTGGGCTGGAGTTCATCATCTGTTTCCTGCAGGTCATCAACGGACTGGTGACAGCTGTCTGTAGACCCTGCTGCTACAAACAGGACTACACCCTCAACGCCTGAACACACACACACACAGACATAGATGAGATGCATGCACGCACAAACGCATGCATGCACACACACACACAAATGTGACACACACACACACACACACATGTAAATTATACATACACACGCATGCATATAACATAAGATCCACGGGCATACCCATGAAATGACATATAAGTCACATGCCAGGAGAGTGTACACTACCAGCTGGGGAACATTGCTTCCTGGATACTCGTTGTTATCTCCTTATTGGTTTCTAATCAGGAAGTGTGATTCAGGAAGTGTGATTCAGGAAGTGTGATTCGGGAAGTGTGATTCACAAGCGAATGCTGCCTCATCTCTGTATGAGGGAGAGATACCTGTCTGAATGTTCAGTTCATTTATGGTATTCATTTCAAAGCACTGTATTAGAAACACGCCGGATGAACGTTTGTATTATATAGACCGTAACTGCAGCCTTTTTTATGTTTTGTATTTTTTATGTTATGTCTTAACCCACTGGGCACAGACGTCAGTTCAACGTCTAGTTTTGATTTATATTTGGTTGAGTTGTCAACTAACGTGAATTTTACGTGAAATCAACAAAAAGTCACCCTGTCATTGGATTTAGGGTAGCCCTTTCCTGCAGTCAAATTACCTAGTGGCCCCATGGGTTATAATTAATAAACATTATTTTTAAAAACCTGCAAAAAATCTGGTGTTTCTATGTCAAACAGTTTAGTTATATTTCAGTCTTCTGTGATGTATATAAAGTGTAATATTGGGATGCAAACTCAAAATTGAATACATTTCAACTCTGTATCTGACATGGTACAGGTGTCTTCTTCTTCTTAAGCCCATAACCATGTGTGTGAAGTTTATACTTTTGTTTCAAAGTAGATTTGTTTAAGACTACCAAGAAACACTACTTGTGACCCTGATTTAGCCCACTGCAGTAAAACGTTTTAAGTTTGGTGGAAAAAAGACTGTTGTTTTGACATCGTCACATTTAATTTTTTGTTGTTGAAATTATGTGGAAACAATGTTGATTCAACCAGCTTTTGCCCAGTGGGAAGTCTACACAAGCACAAAATAATATTTGGGGTATGAAAGTTTTGTCTTTTGTATTAATATTTTCATTTTAAGTGTATTGTAAATTATTGTCTAGATGTTAAGATGTTAAGGCCATTTTATATATTTAGTGCATTTGTCATATTTCTATAATGTTTGTGCTGCCTTAAATAAGTATTTTCCATTTTAATTGTTCTGATTATTCCAATTTTTTTGTAGTAAACTTGCTATATTTGTCAAAGTTGTATACTTTGGTACCTATTTGAGTACGTATTTACCAATGGAGAGCTAATGAAGTCTTAGGAGGAATCCCAAATAGACCCTTTAAACCCTACACCCAGTGCACCCTATGAGATTTTAGAGGATTTGATTGGTATAAGCAATATGGTGAATGTTCCACCTCGCCTATCAGAGGGAAAGGTCATCATTCCATGGTTCTGATGTTATACTGCCACTATCTGGCTCAAATGTAGAACTACAGTATTTTAACACCCACTTGGAATATGCTGGGCAACAACCATTGGTCAATTGCAAAAAGTAGATTTGTTTATTGTCATTGACTAGATTGGGCCGGACCCATTTTAGCCTGGGGAAGAGGTTAGTCATTGACTAGATTGGGGTTTTTTTGTTGTTGCATGACCTTAGATTAGTGGGAGGTTATTGTTGTCCCCCTCACGTCACTGGTTGACCCTCACTACCCTATGGTGAGGATATTGTGGAGTTCCCGTAGGGGAGAGTGGGGTAAGTTGAGCCACCCTTGTTTCTACACAAAATGTTTAATTTGACCACATTTTAAGAAGAGGTCATCGTTTCATGGAGTCTGTGAAGGAAGAAACCATATGGAAAAAGTGGTAAGCAAGTTAGGTCCAAAAAACTGATTTTCACCAAGTCAAATTAATTAATTGTGTTAGAGGTTTCACGATACTTGTATCTAAACCAAAGTAGATAATTAAAAGATTGTTCTATACATCAGTTGAGGTCGCTATAAGCTTCAATATGAGGTCCTAAACCTAGCATAAAAGCATCCTTGTCGCTGTGTGGGCTAATATAGTCTAAATGTTTGCCTTGGTGTAAGTTGAGCCAATGGTTGATCCAGTGGCAAGTTGAGCAAATTGAAGTTGTTTTCTTCCCAGGCATAATGCAAATCATTATTGCTGGGACATAAGGTAACAACAGGGCCTGGCCTATGTTTTAAAGTGTTCAAAAAGTACAAAGTGTTTGTTAGGTGTTAAGCCTGTGTTATAATATGCTTAAAATTATTAAAAGACAAAACAGCGATTGCGATTGTGTTGAATTGTGTTTTAGGGAAATAATGATAGACATGGTTATAAAAAGGTAGTTTTTAATTTAGAACATACATTTGTAGGTGACTTAACTTACCCTGTCCGGCGGCACAACTTACCTCATACCCAGGGTAAGTTGTGCCAAGAGGCCACTTTTTTTTGAACAAGCTATGTTTTCTACAATTCTGATTATTTCCAGGGATACACAACATCCTGAAATACATGTAGATATATTTGTTAGAAAGAATACTACATTTCTCTTGATGGAGCGATGCTGAATATTTAAAAAATGCTCAACTATTCCCGTAAACCATGTTGATTCTCGCTCCGAGTTAGGAAACCACACCGTCATGCGCTGTTTGTCAGTCTTATGTAAATAGTGTCTGTTTTCCAGTGATTGACTGAAGCAACTCATTGTCCTACGATGTGATTGGCCCATTGTTGTTAGAAATAAAGCTCTCTTTGTGGATTTGGTAGACAAAGTAACAATGGGTAGAATTATGTAACATCACAAGGATAGTAAAACAAGTAAAAATAAGAAGTGGGGACATTTCGCCAGTCCCCAAAAGGAAAAAAAATATATTTTAGGCTTAGGGGTTAGGTTTAGGGTTATAATTAGGGTTAGGTTTAGGGTTTTGAGGGTAAGGTTTGGTTATTAAGGGTTAGGGTTAGGGAAAACAGGATTTTGAATGGGAATACATTTTTGGGTCCCCATTTGGATAGTAAAACCAATGTGTGTGTGTGTGTGTGTGTGTGTGTGTGTGTGTGTGTGTGTGTGTGTGTGTGTGTGTGTGTGTGTGTGTGTGTGTGTGTGTGTGTGTGTGTGTGTGTGTGTGTGTGTGTGTGTGTGTGTGTGTGTGTGTGTGTGTGTGTGTGTGTGTGTGTGTGTGTGTGTGTGTGTGTGTGTGTGTGTGCATGTAGCAGTAAGATAGACATGAGATTACTACATACCATTTGGGGAAAATAAGTGATGGCCTTCCCCAGGTCAAAGGTCAGAGGTCTGGAGATTCTGCACCTGTGTGGGTGTGGGTGTGTGTTTGTGTGTGTGTGTGTGAGGTCACACTGCCTGTTTGTGATTGGCTGTGTGGACCCATCACCCCAGTATCTATAAAGGCTGTGTGTCTGTTCATAAGTCATCTGACTGCCTGGAGCCAACATGGGGAGCTGTACGGCGAGCCTGTTCCTTCTACTGGGGTGCTTCACCACTGTGTTCTGTATCACACGGGAATACTTCATCGGGATTCAGGAGATCCAGTGGGATTATGCTCCCTCTGGGAAAAACATCATCCTCAACAAAACACTGAAGGAAGATGAGTGAGTAATTAAGTACAACTGTAATGAAGAAGTACAACTGTAATGAAGAAGTAATAATTATATATATATATATATATATATATATATATATATATATATATATATATATATATACGCACATACACACTGTATATGTAGAAGTGTTGGGAAGTTATGATAGGAGTGTTTAAGAATTGAGTTGAACACAGCATTGCCTGTGTGATACACTTGTTACAGTGAAATCTACATTGTACAATGCCTTCAGTAAGTATTCACACCGCTTGACTTTTTTCCGCATTTTGTTTTGTGACAAAGTGGGATTAAAATGGATTGAATTGTAATTTTTTTTGTCATCAATCTACACAAAATACTGTCAAAAGTGGAAGAACATTTACATTATTGTTTGTTATTTATTTATTTTGAAAAAACGCTAATATATCTTGATTAGATTAAGTATTCAACCCCCTGAGTCAATACATGTTAGAAACACCTTTGACAGCGAGTACAGCTGTGAGTATTTTTTTTTTTGGGTACATTTCTAAGAGCTTTGCACACATGGATTGTATGGCAGGTAACCTAGCGGTTAAGAGCGTTGGGCCAGGAACCGAAAGGTCGCTGGTTTGAATCCCCGAGCCGGCAAGGTGGAAAGATCTGTTGTTCTGTTCTTGAGCAAGGCAGTTTACCCCCCAACAACTGCTCTCCGGACGCAGATGATGTCTGATTCAGTTGGGTTGAATACAGAAAACACATTTTGGTTTAATGCATTCAGTTGTGCAACTTTCCCTATAATACTTGTACATTATTTCATTTTTTTATTCTTCAAGCTCTGTCAAGTTGGTTGTTGATCATTCCTAGACAGCCATTTTCGAAGTCTTGCCATGGATTTTCAAGCCGATTTAAGTCAAAACTGTAACTAGGCCACTCAGGAACATTCAATGTCATCTTGGTAAGCAACTCCAGTGTATATTTGGCCTTGTGATTTTGGTTATTGTCCTGCTGAAAGGCGAATTCGTCTCCCAGTGTCTGTTGGAAAGTAGACTGAACCAGGTTTTCCAATAGGATTTTTCCTGTGCTTAGCTGTATTCCATTTATTTTTATCATAAAAACTCCCTAGTCCTTGCCGATGACAAGCACACCCATGCTTGAAAATATGAAGAGTGGTACTCAGTGATGTGCTATGTTGGATTTGCCCCAAACATGGACAAAAAGTTAATTTCCTTGCCACATTTGTTGCAGTATTACTTAAGTGCCTTGTTGCAAACAGGATAAATGTTTTGGAATAAAATAAAATCTGAACAGGCTTCCTTCTTTTCACTGTCATTTTGTTAGTATTGTGGAGTAACTACAATGTTGTTGATCCATCCTCTGTTATCTCCTATCACAACCATTAAACTCTGTAACTGTTTTAAAATCACCATTGGCCTCATGGTGAAATCCCTGAGCGGTTTCCTTCCTCTCCGGCAACTGAGTTAGGAAGGACGCCTGCATCTTTGTAGTGACTGATTGTATTGATACACCATCCAAAGTGTAATTAATAACTTCACCATGCTCAAAGGGATAATCAATGTCTGCTTTTTTGTTTTGTTTTTACCCATCTACCAATAGGTGCCCTTCTTTGCAAGCCATTGGAAAACCTCCCTGGTCTTTGTGGTTGAATCTGTGCTTGAAATTCATTACTTGATTGAGGGACCTTACATATAATTGTATGTGTGCGGTACAGAGATGGGGTAGTCATTGAAAAATCATGTTAATATCAGTAAGAGTCTATTGCCGTACCCGTGCGTCAACGTAACATAATAAAAAAATCCCCATCAAAATCTGTTGGTTTAAGCTAAATATATGTTTTTTTTGCATGGGCTGCATCTCAATCCACCGCATCCACCTATGTTGGCCTTCCGTATATCTAGATATACTGTAGATAGGACCTTTATTTTTTTACTGTCTTTTTTGCCATTTATGAATGTGTTGTTCAATGCGTTTCTATGGACTATAGTAGTAAAGGCCAAATTCAATATTTTATCAAATCATTTTTGTATATATTTCTTTACTATTCCATATGTTAGCTTAGTAGTACCCCGCTCCCAACAGCTTAGACTTTGAGGTTAACCACAATTATTGAACACAGAATGAGCCCAGGCAATTTATTATGTGATTTGTTAAGCACATTTTTACTCCTGAACTTATTTAGACTTGTCATAACAAAGGGGTTGAATAATTATTGACACAAGACATTTCAGCTTTTCATTTTGATTTAATTGTCATATTTTGGAACAAAGCCAGACCAAAAATGTTACCTCACTTTTTTCACTCGCATACTGTGTAGACTTTTTTTTTTTTTTGGATGAATCCATTGAATAGTGTGGGCAATAGTCCATGTGTGTGTGTGTGTGTGTGTGTGTGTGTGTGTGTGTGTGTGTATACATGTTAATTATCTTCTCCTAACCTCCTCCACTCCACTACAGACAGGCAGCTACGTTCCTGGAGCGCGGGCCCCAGCGGATCGGCAGTGTGTACAAGAAGGCAGTTTACCTGCAGTACACCGACGCCACCTACACGAAGGAGATAACCAAGCCCAAGTGGCTGGGCTTCCTGGGCCCTGTGATATCGGCTGAGGAAGGGGACGTGATCTGGGTCCATCTGAAGAACATGGCCACTAGGCCCTACTCCATCCACTCCCATGGAGTCATGTACAACAAGTCCAATGAGGGTGAGTGGATGTGGATGGATGTCTAGAATAGAGGATAGAATATCCTACAGTTATCAACGCAACCTCCAAGACACATTTACATTTGCCATAACTGCAGGCAACAGAGATTATGGATTGTGTTGCCCTTTTTAATTATGGAGTGTGTTGGGACACCCTCTAATGTGAATCCTATGAATGTAGTGAGTGAATGGGGTGGGACACCCTGTAATGTGAATCCTATGAATGTAGTGAGTGAATGGGGTGGGACACCCTCTAATGTGAATCCTATGCTCTTTGCCAGCCAGGTGGTTCTGGTGAAAGAGGTCATCTAAATCAGTTACCAGATGCTGTGGTTAAAACCTAAAACTATTCACATTTTTTTGGTGCCCACAAAATTAACCAAAACCATGTCCCTAAAATAAGGCAGCACAACCCAGTCTTGATCCAAGAGGGAAACTCCCTACTGGGGACTGGGGATCAACCCAGTCTTGATCCAAGAGGGAAACTCCCTACTGGGGACTGGGGTTCAAACCAGTCTTGATCCAAGAGGGAAACTCCCTACTGGGGACTGGGGTTCAACCCAGTCTTGAGCCATGATCCAAGAGGGAAACTCCCTACTGGGTACTGTGGTTCAACCCAGTCTTGATCCAAGAGAGAAACTCCCTACTGGGGACTGGGGTTCAACCCAGTCTTGATCCAAGAGGGAAACTCCCTACTGGGGACTGGGGTTCAACCCAGTCTTGAGCCATGATCCAAGAAGGAATGGCCACACAACGACCCGGCCACCGTTTGAAAGTCAGTCACTGTCCAGAGTCAAGGTTGAGTGGTAATACTCCCGGGAACAAGTCACATGTAAAAATAAAGAACTCCCCACTGCGAACCGGGGTTCAATCCCTGCATCCACCTTTCCCACTCTTTCTCCCACCTGCCTGTATCCCCAATATTTACATACAATCTCAATAAAGTGTCAAAATCCCCCCCCCCCACACACACACAAAAGAATGGAGAAAAATTGAAGTCAGTCACTGATCCAGATGTCTCCCATATTGCCAAAGGTGCTCTGTACCCGGACCAGACGACGGACGCGGAGAAACATGACGACCGGGTGGATCCTGGGAAAAGCTACACCTACGTGTGGGTCCTGAGCGACACCCACGCCCCCACCAAGGACGACACCAACTGCCTGACGCGCGCCTATCACTCCCACCTCCATGCACCCAAAGACATCGCCTCAGGACTTGTAGGACCCCTCATCATCTGTAAAAAAGGTACAGGCTTCTTATCGGGCACCTAAACCACTGGTTATGTACAGTAAGTCATCAGGTTTTGAACAACAGCATGTAATGAACTGTTTGAGTTTTATGAATAGTGTTATTAGCCCACTGTGGCGATTAAGGGGGAACTGCTAGATGACACCAGTGATCCTGTGATTACAGAAGAGAGTACACACCATCTCCTGTGTCATAAAGTATGTTTTCATGTACATGGATGTTTATTTCTGAGATGCGCAGGTACCCTGGATGTCTACGGTGATAAGGCAGCAGACTACTCGTACGTTCTGATGTTCACTGTGTCGGACGAGAACATGAGCTGGTACCTGGACGACAACATCAAGACCTACTGCACTCAGCCCAAAACAGCAGCCAACAGCCCACAACAGCCATCAGCAGCAGCCAACAGCCCACAACAGCCATCAGCAGCAGCCAACAGCCCACAACAGCCATCAGCAGCAGCCAACAGCCCACAACAGCCATCAGCGGCAGCCAACAGCCCACAACAGCCATCAGCAGCAGCCAACAGCCCACAACAGCCATCAGCAGCAGCCAACAGCCCACAACAACCCACCACTACAGTAGACAAAGACGATGAAGCCTTCCAGGAGAGCAACCTGATGCACTGTGAGATTATTAACACAAATAACACCAATACACACACAGCCTGTGAGCCCACAGGCCACTAACACACTATGTCCACTGTTTTGCAGCGATCAATGGCTTTGTGTACGGCAACCTGCCTGACCTGAGCATGTGTGTCGGAAACAAGATCCACTGGCACCTGATCGGCATGGGCAATGAGGTGGACATCCATTCGGTGTTCTTTCATGGCCAGATCCTGACCCACCTTGGCCACCACACGGACGTGGTCAGCTTGTTCCCAGCCACCTTCACCAATGTGGAGATGACCGCTGACAACCCTGGCCAATGGCTGCTGAGCTGCCAGGTCAACGACCACCTAATGGGTATGGATGTGCGGATGTGTTTCACAAGCCAGGGACCGTATCCAAAAAGCATTTCAGAGTAGAAGTGCTGATCCGTTGTAGGACCAGGTGTTCCCTTGCCATATAATATCAGTAATAATGATCTAAAAGGCTAAACGAATAATTAGCACTCTTACTCTCAGACTCTTAGGTCCCAGATAGACAGCCAATCAGAGGGTAAGGCCCAGATACAGCCAATCAGAGGGTAGTACAACATTTCACCAACAAGTTACAAGCCCTGTCACATAGTGAACATTTTTGTCAGAGAAAGTCTAATTAATGTAACATCCCACTGGGCACAAACTGGTTGAATCAACGCTGTTTCCACATCATTTCTACAAAAAATACAATGTGATGACGTTGAATCAACGAGGAAAACTGATTGGATTTGCAAAAAGTCCCTCAACGTAAAGGAATTTCGGGAATGATTATCCTTTTTTTCACCCAACTTTTAACCTAAGTCCAATGACATGGTTAAATTGGTTGTTGATTTCATGTTGAATTCACGTTAGTTGACAACTCAAATCAAATGTAAATGAAAACTAGATGTTAAACTGACGTCTGTGTCCAATGGGATAAAGTGATTGTCTTCCCCTGATTTCATCACCTCAGCGGGCATGCAGGCCCTCTTTGAGGTAAAGAAGTGTTTCCCCGCCGTCCACAAGCCACGGCCCAACGGGGAGGTGAGGGAGTACTTCATCGCTGCTGAGGAGGTGCTGTGGGACTACGCCCCCTCACAGGTCAACCACGGCACAGGGAAACCTCTGAACACAGACGGGTCAGTAACATCACTGTCTACTGCGGTTTGGGCACGCTTGTTTTTTAGTTGAAAATGGATTTTTTTTAGTGTGTGTAACTATTGCCCAGTACCAATTTAAGCCTGGTCCCAAAAATATTAAAATGGGACTGGGGGGTTGTTTTCTGATCTGATTGTTACCATGTTCTTTGTCCCGCTGAATGTTCTCAGGGATTCAGAGACGTTCTTCCAGAGTGGTAACGATCGTATTGGGGGGAAATATAAGAAGGCCCAGTACAAGGAGTACACAGACAACACCTTCACCGTGCAAAAGGAGAGAACACCTGAGGAGTTGCACCTAGGGATTCTGGGTAATGTACAGTCGCTAGTTAAAGTCTACGCACACCTTGCACAGCCTTCACATTTTGCTGCCTTAAAATTAAATCTAAAAACGGATGACATTAGATTTTTTTCCAATCGATCTACACAACCTACTCCACATTTTCAAAGTGAAAGAAGAATTATAGAAAACTGTCCAAATTAGTAAAAAATACAAAATAGGATGTATTGATTGATCATTCAAATCAACGGGGCTGTAGTGGAGCTGGTCGAGAGCTTCAAATTCCTCGGTTTCCACATCACTAAGGACCTATCATGGTCCACACACACCAACACAGTCTTGAAGAGGGCACGACAACACCTATTTCCCCTCAGGAGGCTGAAAAGATTGAGAATGGGCCCTCAGATCCTCAAAATGTTATACAGCTGCACCATTGAGAGCATCTTGACTGGCTGCATCACCGCTTGGTATGGTAACTGCTTGGCATCCAACCGCAAGGCGCTACAGAGGGTAGTGCGTACAGCCCAGTACATCACTGGGGTCCAAGCTCCCTGCCATCAAGGACCTCAATACCAGGCGGTGTCAGAGGAAGGCCCTTAAAAATTGTAAAATACTCCAGCCACCCAAGTCATAGACTGTTCTCTCTGCAACCGCCATGGCAAGCGGTACCGATGCAGGACCAACAGGACCCTGAACAGCTTCTACCCCCAAGCCATAAACCTGCTAAATAGTTAACCAAATAATCTGCATTGACCCTTTTTATTATTACTTTTATTATTAAAAATTTTACATTTAGCAGACGCTCTTATCCAGAGTGCATACATTATTATTTTTTAATACTGGCCCCCCATGGGAATCGAACCCACAACCCTGGCGTTGCAAACACCATGCTCTACATCCCTGCCGGCCATTCCCTCCCATACCCTGGACCAATTGTGCGCCACCCCATGGGTCTCCCGGTCGGCTACAACAGAGCCTGGATTCGAACCAGGATCTCTAGTGGCACAGCTAGCACTAGCGCCTTAGACCACTGCGCCACTCGGGAGACACAGATTACGTGTTTTACTTTTCTATTATTTCTCTATTTTCTTTCTCTCTGCATTGTTGTGAAGGGCTCATAAGGAAGCATTTCACTGTTAGTCTACACCTGTTGTTTACAAAGCATGTGACAAATAAAATGTGATGTCTTCACACCCCTGAGTTAATACTTGGTGGAAGCACCTTTGGCAGCCATTACAGCTGTAAATCATTTTGAATACGATTCTACCAACTCTTAGGGCAACATATATTCATTGATTTTGTCAAAATCAGAAGACTGAGGCGAGTTTTCCTCTAACTTTTTACTTGGGCTTTGCTCCTTTCATATTTATTTTGATCCTGACAAACTCCTATGCTGGTGATAAGCATATCCATAACATGATGATGCCACAAGACGGAAGCCTATATTATCAAATCCATCCCAAATCATCCATTCTGTTTGTATCAAGGCCGTTAACTAATATTGCAAGACAACATGGCAAAGACATTAACTACAGGTTTGGGTCAAATCCAATCCAATACAACACAGAGTAACCCCTCTGTATTCTCAAGTATTGTGGTGGCAGCATCATGTTATGGGTATGCTTGTCGCCAGCAGGGACTGGGGAGTTTGTCAGGATCTAAATAAATATGAAAGGAGCAAAGCCCAGGGACTATTACACAAATGTTTAAGTGAAAGATACACCAGAATGGCTTCCAAAAGGTGTTCAGTGCAACGCTTAAGTTGTAAATCAGCTATAGCGGCGCGTGGGTAAAATCACTGAGGAAGCCAAGCCAGTAAAAAAAGCCATATTAAACCTATGTTGTGATGTTTGCGTTGTTTGTTCTGTAACCCATTAGTTTATACGACCACCGTGATGTACAATAAGGCCGTGACAACAAAAAGACCACAGTCACACAGTGGTGGAATAAATTCAACTACACACACGTCTGTTTCATCACAAAACCGGAGAGCAACATCGGTTCGGTGTGAAGTCCACAAAGCAAATGTTGCATGTAACAAACAGTTATATGACCTGCAGCATGGTCACGCAAGATAATGTTTTCAACAGTTTACTAAACAGCTACTGATTTAGAACCACAGAGTTACCGCAAGTCAGCACAAAGACAACAGGAGCACTGCCTCTGCTATTCCAGAACCATTTCAACATAAACATTTAAACATCATCAAATCAACAAGGCTATATATGCTTAGTTTAATACACTGAAAACAAACTTAAAAAGATACCAAAAACAATTTATTCCAATCAACGTTGCTAAATATCATGTGACTGTCCATTGTACTGATTTCTGTGTGAGTGCGTGCACAAAAAAAAACAAAAAAAACGGTGATAAGTTGCGTCAATTCAAATCTGGTATTGGGAACAAAAGAGGTCAATACACGTCTTCTAAAATAGACTAGTATTTTAATTAATGCAAAACACTTCAATGGTAAATATGATGTTCGTATATACGGGTCCACTGAAAAACCACGCAGGGCAGTCAGAGAACTGGTCCATTGTTATAAGTTCTTCTTTAATTACTCTGACAGAGATAGTTCCCGCTCCCTGCTGGCCTATCAGAGTAGAGACTGAGCGTGGTTTAGACTTACTCAGCCTATCGTTGGCGCACAGGCTGGTCCCAGCCCCTTGTCGCTTCACTGTTGCCAGGTGTTTAGTTGTTTTGCAACTTGTCCAGAGAGTCAGCAACCTCAGACATCTTTGTAGCAGAACACATGTCCTTGAGCGTTCTAACAAAGAGGCAGTGTGAGTCACAAGCCTTATCTCACCCTACTCCCTAACAGCTCCTCACATTAATCACAGCTTGTTAGGTTAAACAATTTATATCAGTACAGTACAAACCTTTTATGTTTAATCATTAGTGCTTTCTTATTAAGCTAACAGCACATCTAAAATATAAGAGAATAATTTCCCACAACGGGCTCACCCTACTTGTAGACTAGTTGAACACCAATGCCATCCTCCTCTCTTTCATGTTGGCAAAACAGTCATACAGTACACTTTTAGTTTTAGTTGTCATAGGCTACCTAGCTAAAATGCTTGCTAGCCTAACTTCCTCGCATGGGCAACAATTAACCAGCTAAGCTAGCTAGCTAGTTAACATGGGCAACAATTAACCAGCTAAGCTAGCTAGCTAGTTAACATGGGCAACAATTAACCAGCTAAGCTAGCTAGCTAGCTAATGTGAGCCTCCTACATCTAGGCTACATATTGAACTTCAATCGTCTCAGGCCAGTGGCACAATATAAGAATGTATGGTTAGATCAGAATCCTCTTCATAATCATTGGCCTGTACAGAGAATTAAGTCAACACCGCAAGTCCAAATCCCCATCTCCATCCATTGCTTAGGAAAAGGTTGATTTAGCAACCTAGCTACTGCAGGGCATCAACACAAGCAGACCAGAAACAGACACGTTTTTCTGAGAACGATGACATTTTGCTTAGGTTGTGATTCGATTGGTTTGAAGCCAAATCCAAACTGGCCTCTTGGGGAGCGTTTTGCTGCTCCAGGACAACCCACATTGAGCTCAGCTCAATGATGATTGTCTAATTATTTTATAAAACTATTTATCAAGGGAGGCCAAATACTTGCTGGAATTAATGAGGAGGCATCTCGAATTAACTCTGATCGTTTTTGTTTTGTTTTGTTTTTGTACATAGCAAACGGTCATTATTTTTCTCATGTAGAGGTACCGGATCCGGCGAAATAGGTTTCGGAACGAAACATTCCAAAACGGAGAGGTGCCGGATCAAGTTCCGGCAGGATCCGGCTCAAATTAAGCACCTTTTGAGTGTTCCTGAGTGGTCTAGTCTCAGTCCTGACTTAAATTTGCTTGAAAATTACAGACCAGGTTTGAATATTTCTGTCCATCAATAATTCCCAACCAAATTTATTGAGCTTGAGCAATTTTGACGAAAACAATGGACACTACTCTTACGTTAGAGTATTTTCTTACATATCTTTTTTACTATTTAGAAATGAAAGCACTTTAAGTCCCCCCATTTGAAGGTGTCATTACTATTTTGACAAATTCACTTATCGTTTAGTAGTCAAAAGTTTTGTATTTAGTCCCATATTCCTAGCACGCAATGACTAACTACACATCAAGTTTGTGATTCTACAAACTTGTTTAATGCATTTTCAGTTTGTTTTGGTTGTGTTTCAGATTATGTTGTGCCCAATAGAAATGAATGGTAAATAATGTAGTGTGTCATTTTGGAGTCACTTTCATTGTAAATAAGAACAGAATATGTTTCTGAACACTTTCACATTAATGTAGATGCTACAATGATTACAGATAATTATGAATTAATCATGAATAATGATGAGAGAAAGTTACAGAGGCACAAAGATCATACCCCGAAAACATGCTAACCTCTCACCATTTCCAATAACAGGGGAGGTTAGCATTTTTTGGGAGCTATGATATTTATGCCTCTAACTCTGTAAATCCAATTTAATCCCTTTTTAAATGTGAAGACTGTGCAACGGGTGTGTAGACTTTCACTAGGCACTGTAGTTCATTCATTCTGCAGGTTGATTCTGTTGCTCCAGGAGAAGAAGAACTATCCCCCTAGTCTTGTAGTGGTCCTCTGTAGCTTATATGGTTACCATGGCGCTGGCAACGCCTGGACAGTGGGTTCGATACCAGGGACCACCCATGTGTAAAAAAAAAAAAATATACATGCATACTTTTTGTTACTTTGGATAAAAGCGTCTGCTAAATTGCATATTTCTATAAATGTATTAATGATTGATTGGCGGCCGTTTGCGTTGCAGGTCCTGTGATCAGGGCTGAGGAGGAGGACACCATCAAAGTGGTGTTTAAGAACAAGGCCAACCGTCCATTCTCCATGCAGCCCCATGGGGTGCAGTACAGCATCGAGCAGTCGGGGACACTCTACTACAACGAACTGGAAGGTTAGAAGTAGTAACATATTTATTACATGTTAAGTCAACACGTTAACATTCTTTTTGTATTAAAACGTTTCCCTTTCAGTGATAATGTCTCCCAGTATCATACCATCAATGAACTCTCCTAACACTTTCACAGAATCCTACACTGCTAAAAAACTCAGAGAAATCAAGAAAGAGACAAGTAAGTACGCTCATTTATGCCTATTTCTTATATACCCACAGTATCCAGCAAGGTTGGCGTCAATTCAATTTCAATGCCAGTCAATTGGAATTCCAATTTTATTTAATCCTTTTCAATGGGCCCGATTCAATCCGTAGCACTAAAGGTCTGCGCTACAGCGTGATAGAAATGTAAAGGCTATGTTCCTGCGTTAGCGGAGACTGCGTTCATGGTAAACGCTGCATAAGTCAGCTCAATCTAAAATTACCTTTACATTTAAAATCATGCTACAGCACAGATCTTCAGCGCTACAGATTGAATCGAGCCCTTACTTTCTGAGTTGACTGGAATCTAAATGGAATTGACCCCAATCCTGGTACCCAGTTCCTGCAGGTGTTTAGCCACACTGAGGTGGTGGTGGGGGCCCGGCCGGCCGGCCAGGGATGTTTTATGTTTGATCTACAGGATCTTTCTCTTACCAAACTAGCAACGCTGTGGGGGTTTTTCACGCTCAACAGTTTCCCATGTGTATCAAGAATGGTCCACCACTCAAAGTACATCCAGCCAACTTGACACAACTGTTGGAGTCAACATGGGCCAGCATCCCTGTGGAACGCTTTCAACACCGTGTAGATTCCATGCCCTGACGAATTGAGGCTGTTCTGATGGCAAAAGAGGGTGCAACTCAATATTAGGAATATGCGTGTTTTGTACACTTAGTGTATATGCATGATAGATTTGGTTGTCTTTCTGATACAATGTAATACTTTCCCTAAATACCTTGAAGGCTTGAAAATTATGAAATGTATGCATTGAATGAAATTGTAATAAATAAATAATAAATAAATTCCTATTAAATAGCAAGGGCGCATCGGCCCAATGTGGGCAGCCTACATGGGGCCAATATTTTAGCCCGCGTTGGGCCAATGTGGGCATGTTTGCTGGGATAGTTCTAATCCTGGTCCTTTTGTTTTTGCTGTAACACGGAGACCGTTTATTCAACTGATTTATTAAACTAATCAACTCATCACCAAGCCATTGAATCTTTATCACATTTACCTACACCCCTATCCTCCAGGAACTGTAACCCCTCCCCCGGCAGCGCTGGTCAAACCAGGCGCCACCCACACCTATGAGTGGGTGGTCCCTAAGGGGGGCGGACCGGTAAAGGACGATGCAGACTGCATTACATATCTCTACTACTCAGCCGTGGACCCTGTCAAAGACACCAGCTCCGGCCTCGTCGGACCCCTCCTGGTCTGCAAAAAGAAGACCCTCAAAAAAGGGAAACAGGTAAAGAAATGGAATTGAATACCTTTACATTTACATTTTAGTCATTTAGCAGACGCTCTTATCCAGAGCGACTTACATGAGCAATTAGGGTTAAGTGCCTTGCTTAAGTGCACAGACAGATTTTTCACCTAGTCGGCTCGGGGATTAGAACCAGCGACCTTTCGGTTACTGGCACAACGCTCTTACCCACTAAGCTACCTGCCGCCCTTTATTGTCAGTGTGTCAGAAATATTGAATCTGGAATGTTTTCATCATCTTACTTGGCATTACAAAAGGTCAAATACAGACAGAGCACTCACATCACATCTTATGGAATGAATTAGTCTCACGTTTATTTCCCATTTCAGAAAAACGTGAACAAGGAGTTCCACATGCTGGCTACCGTGTTTGATGAGAACCTGAGCTGGTACCTGGATGACAACATCAACCAGTTCACCAAGGCTCCTAAAACTGTCAACAAGGAGGATGAGGACTTCCAGGAATCGAACAAAATGCACTGTGAGTCTTTTAGGCTGTGTTTACACAGGCAGCCCAGTTCTGGTCTTTTATCCAACTATTGGCAAAAGAGCTGATTTGATTGGTCAAAAAGACCAAATTAGTGGAAAAATATCAGAATTGGGCTGCCTGTGTCAACACAGCCTTAGAACACTGATCCATGATGGAAACATTTTAAACTGTGATGCTAATTCAGCTACAAAACATGTCTCCTTTGGCAAAATTGCAATTAAAATAATTCCTTCTGTTACTTTCAAAAAGCCTATATTGTAATGGGATTTCCCTACGGACACAAAACACCAACACACAGAGCAGTTACCAACAACCTAACACATTTCAGCCTCTTACTGGTCTTCTGTAGGGCACTAACTTTTCAATTCCCTTTTCCTGTTCCCATAGCGATCAATGGCTACATGTATGGGAACCTCCCAGGGCTGACCATGTGTAAGGGGGACAAGGTGTCATGGCACCTGTCTGGCCTGGGCTCTGAGGCTGATATCCACGGCCTCTACTTTGAAGGGAACAGGTTCATCTACAGAGAGACACGCAGAGACGTCATGAACGTGTTCCCTCACATCTCCCACACTGTCATGATGGAGCCAGACAGCATGGGTAAGACACATTATGGATGGAGGGATAGATGGGTGGGTGGATGGATGAATGGAGAGATGGAGAGATGGATGAATGGAGGCAGAGAGGGAGGGGCAGACGGAAGGAAAGAATTTAACATAAATCGTAAAATGTTTACTTCTGTTCTAATATGAAAATCAATTAAAACTAATTACAATAACAGACAATGCATTTGTTCCCCTCCTCCAGGTCAGTTTGAGGTGGTGTGCATGACAACGGATCACTACCAGGGAGGTATGAGGGCCAACTACACAGTGCAGAAGTGTAGTATGTTCAACAGGCAGTCAGAGATCATGCTCCACTCGAAGACCTACTACATTGCTGCCATGGAGATAGATTGGGACTACTCCCCCAACCGGACCTGGGAGCAGGAGATGTACCACGGCCTCACACATAGGTATTCTAACCCTAGCTTCATGTCCACACCCCCAGCTCAACCCTAACCCCAGCCATAACCCTAACCCCAGCCACAACCCTAACCCCAGCTCAACCCTAACCCCAGCTCAACCCTAACCCCAGCCATAACCCAAGAAACATTCCTATTCCGTGCTTGAGACATGGATCTACAATACATCATGATCAGTTTCGTTTTTTTGAGTATGTTTTCTTTGTCTCCAGTCCAGGAAATGATTTCATTGATAAACAGGATAAGTTCATCGGCTCCAAGTACAAGAAAGTTGTGTACAGGGAGTTCACCAACAATAAATTCACCAAACAGAAGGAGAGATCAGCAGACATGCAACACCTGGGGATCCTGGGTAAGTTGTAGTATAAAGGGTTTGGTTCTGGGTATGTTGTTGTAGAAAGGGTTTGGTTCTGGGTATGTTGTAGTAGAAAGGGTTTGGTTCTGGGTATGTTGTAGTAGAAAGGGTTTGGTTCTGGGTATGTTGTAGTAGAAAGGGTTTGGTTCTGGGTATGTTGTAGTAGAAAGGGTTTGGTTCTGGGTATGTTGTAGTATAAAAGGTTTGGTTCTGGGTAAGTTGTAGTGACATATGGAATTTGAATGTCCTTTTGTTTTTGGGCTAATGTCCATCCTTGAATAGTTTTATGAGACGTCTGTTAAAATCAATGGTCTTTCATTGTTTTAATTGCCATACTTTACATCCCCGGGACCAAGCACTGACTTTACATTATTTACATTTAGAATCGTATTAAACTGACCTGTTATGAATCCTGATCGATGACCCCTCTGGTTTCTTTCCCCAGGCCCTATGATCCATGCAGACGTTGGTGACAAAGTGAACATAGTCTTCAAGAACATGGCCACAAGAACTTACTCTATTCACGCCCACGGGGTGAAGACGGACGTTCCACAGGTCAAAGAAACTAAGCCAGGTAAAATAAACAACACCCATAAGACATTGGATTTGACCAGCTAGTGTTATAGACATTGGATTTGACCGGCTAGTGCTATAGACATTGGATTTGACCGGCTAGTGTTATAGACATTGGATTTGACCGGCTAGTGTTATAGACATTGGATTTGACCGGCTAGTGTTATAGACATTGGATTTGACCGGCTAGTGTTATAGACATTGGATTTGACCGGCTAGTGTTATAGACATTGGATTTGACCGGCTAGTGTTATAGACATTGGATTTGACCGGCTAGTGTTTTAGACATTGGATTTGACCGGCTAGTGTTATAGACATTGGATTTGACCGGCTAGTGTTATAGACATTGGATTTGACCGGCTAGTGTTATAGACATTGGATTTGACCGGCTAGTGTTATAGACATTGGATTTGACCGGCTAGTGTTATAGACATTGGATTTGACCGGCTAGTGTTATAGACATTGGATTTGACCGGCTAGTGTTAGACATTGGATTTGACCGGCTAGTGTTATAGACATTGGATTTGACCGGCTAGTGTTATAGACATTGGATTTGACCGGCTAGTGTTATAGACATTGGATTTGACCGGCTAGTGTTATAGACATTGGTTTTGACCAGCTAGTGTTATAGACATTGGATTTGACCGGCTAGTGTTATAGACATTGGTTTTGACCAGCTAGTGTTATAGACATTGGTTTTGACCAGCTAGTGTTATAGACATTGGATTTGACCAGCTAGTGTTATAGACATTGGATTTGACCGGCTAGTGTTATAGACATTGGATTTGACCAGCTAGTGATATGTAGTAGTTTCAAAAGCATTGATATTTTATTACTATGGACTACTCTTATATAGATTTCAGGACCCTGTTCTATAGAATAACAACTTTGTAGTGAGTGAGAGTTAGAGTTTCCTAAAGCAGAGTTGTCCCATACAGGTGAAACACAGACATACACATGGTACGTCCCCAAGACAGCTGGGCCTACAGACAAACAGGAGTCATGCAGTGTGGGAGCATATTACTCCACAGTCAACGTCAACAAGGTAATGAGATACCACAAACTGATCAGGGCCTCGTTTCCCAGAGCCTTTCGTAGCGTTGAGATCATCGTTAGAACCTTCTAACAATGTATCTTTAGTAGTTTTTTTTGGTTCGCCAGGACCATTTACAGTTGAGCTCGCTCAGTTTAGCGCAATGCTGATTGGCTATTATTTTATACTTTTTATTTTTTTATCAAGGGAGGCCAAATGCTCGCTGGCTTGCCTTACATTCAGTGCTACAGGCGGCAACAATGTCATACTCTTTTTGACCAGACAGCATCAGATAGATAGGCAACACATACAGAGACAGAGGGGTCACTCTGATGAGAAACATTCAACTTCTTTGAAATTGAAGGAAAATTATGAAACACAAAAATGAAAAGATAAATTATTGTATATGTTTTTTATTGGTTCCCTTGGCATCCACGAATACATGCTACTGCTTATTATACCTCAGTGATTCAGCAATATGGCCCGCTTCAAATTCAAATACTTAATGCACCATCGGGAGTTTTCCATACGAATACCACAGTTAGAACAATAAGCCAGATGTTTCACCAGATGGATAAATCTAAATCTTCCATTTGGTTCCACTCACCACCAAATGTGGTGATGAGAGGAAGGCCAGTGGCTGGTAGTGGGAGAAGATGGAGTGAGATGGATTTTGGCCGACAAATGCAAATGTTCTCATCGCGATTAAACGTTTGACCGTCAATACAGCTTTCTGTTCCCAAAACTACAATCTGTTTTATTTTTATTGAAAGAGTGCCAAGGCGAATTGAGTTATTGCACAAGCGCACCTCAGAAATACGCAAATACTTGCTCTAACGCACCAATAGGGTCTCACTAGCTCGTGCTTGGCTCTGTCCACCTCCTTGCTTGTTCTGTCCATGTTTCATTTGCTCCCATTGGAAACGACAGGCTATTTTGGTTTATCTATGAAAATCTTTGGGAATACGTGGATGAAGTCAGCGCTATCACTATCTACTGATTTTAATGTCTATGAAGCAATATGGCGATCTTCAAATTCAAAATTGATGTACCTAACCCTCAAAAGCCTATTTGCAGCAATGATGTACCTAACCCTCAAAAGCCTATTTGCAGCCATAGGCGGTAATATCTCTCTAGGTGCTAATCCGTAGTCAATTATTGAGGAATAATTACAATGTTAAAGTAAGATTTGAATGGAGGATGCTGATCCGAGCGCAGCTTTGTTTTTCCTTCGACCATATCAGTATCGAGACACGGTCTAATGATGCACTTAACGAACGTTCTCCGCTACGTGCTTGTTTGGGAAACACTTAAAAAGTTGGCTCGTAAATAACGGTGCATCTGATAATCGTAATGCTTAAGTTACATCATACCCCTGCACATCGACTCGGGGTACCCCGTGTATATAGCCAAGTTACCGTTAGTCATAGCGATTATTTATGCCTTTTTTCTTTTCTTCTTCTATTCTATTTTTCTCTCTGCATTGTTGGGAAGGGCCCGTATGGAAACATGGCACTGTTAGTCTACATCTGTTGTTTACGAAGCATGTGACAAATACATTTGATTTGACATCGCAACTAGAAAACGAGGCCCAGTTCTACTGGTCTCTACCAATGACTTATATAAACATGTTATATTAATACATACACCGAGTATACCAAATACACACACAGAGTATACCAAACATTATGACATTGCAACTAGAAAACGGGAATACCAATTACTTATATAAACATGTTATGTTATATAAATACATGCACTGAGTATACCAAACATTAAAAAAAAAAACACCCACCACCACCACCACATATACACTACATGACCAAAAGTATGTGGACACCTGCTTGTCCAACATCTCATTCCAAAATCATGGGAATTAATATGGCATTGGTCCCCCCTTTGCTGCTAAACAGCCTCCACTCTTCTGGGAAGGCTTTCCACTAGATGTTGGAACATTACTGCAGGGACTTGCTTACATTCAGCCACAAGAGCATTAGTGAGGTCGGGCACTGATGTTGGGCGATTAGGCCTGGCTCACAGTTGGCGTTCCAATTCATCCCAAAGGTGTTTGATGGGGTTGAGGTCAGGGCTTTGTGCAAGCCAATCAAGTTCTTCCACACTGATCTCAACAAACCATTTCTGTATGGACCTCGCTTTGTGCACGGGGGCATTGACACGCTGAAATAGGAAAGGGCCTTCCCCAAGCTGTTGCCATAAAGTTGGAAGCACAGAATCGTCTACAATGTCATTGTACGCTGTAGCGTTAAGATTTCCCTTCGCTGGAACTAAGGGGCCTAACCCGAACCATGAAAAACAGCCCCAGACCATTATTCCTCCTCCACCAAACTTTACAGTTGGCACTATGCATTGGTGCAGATAGCGTTCTCCTGGCATCCGCCAAACCCAGATTCGTCCCTCAGACTACCAGATGGTGAAGGGTGATTCATCACTACGCATTTCCACTGCTCCCGAGTCCAATGGCGGCGAGCTTAACACCACTCCAGCCAACGCTTGGCATTGCGCATGGTGATCTTATGGCTTGGTGTGCAGCTGCTCGGCCATGGAAACCCATTTCATGAAGCTCCTGACAAACAGTTATTGTGCTGATGTTGCTTCCAGAGGCAGTTTGGAACCCGGTAGTGAGTGTTGCAACAGAGGACAGACGATTTTTCACACGCTTCAGCACTCGGCGGTCCCGTTCTGTGAGCTTGTGTGGCCTACCACTTCACGGCTGAGCCGTTGTTGCTCCTAGACGTTTCCACTTCATAATAACAGCACTTACAGTTGACCGGGGCATCTCTAGCAGGGCAGATATTTCACGAACTGACTTGTTGGAAAGGTGCCACCCTATGACAGTGCCACGTTGAAAGTCACTGAGCTCTTTAGTTAGGCCATTCTACTGCCAATGTTTGTCTATGGAGATTGTGTGGCTGTGTGCTCGATTTTATACACCTGTCAGCAATGGGTGTGCCTGAAATAGCAGAATCCACTAATTTGAAGGGGTTGTCCACATACTTTTGTATATATAGTGTACATATATATATATATACACAGTGAGGGAAAAAAGTATTTGATCCCCTGCTGATTTTGTACGTTTGCCCACTGACAAAGACATGATCAGTCTATAATTTTAATGGTAGGTTTATTTTAACAGTGAGAGACAGAATAACAACAAAAAAATCCAGAAAAACATATGTCAAAAATGTTATAAATTGATTTGCATTTTAATGAGGGAAATAAGTATTTGACCCCTCTGCAAAACATGACTTAGTACTTGGTGGCAAAACCCTTGTTGGCAATCACAGAGGTCAGACGTTTCTTGTAGTTGGCCACCAGGTTTGCACACATCTCAGGAGGGATTTTGTTCCACTCCTCTTTGCAGATCTTCTCCAAGTCATTAAGGTTTCGAGGCTGACGTTTGGCAACTCGAACCTTCAGCTCCCTCCACAGATTTTCTATGGGATTAAGGTCTGGAGACTGGCTAGGCCACTCCAGGACCTTAATGTGCTTCTTCTTGAGCCACTCCTTTCTTGCCTTGGCAGTGTGTTTTGGGTCATTGTCATGCTGGAATACCAATCCACGACCCATTTTCAATGCCCTGGCTGAGGGAAGGAGGTTCTCACCCAAGATTTGATGGTACATGGCCCCGTCCATCGTCCCTTTGATGCGGTGAAGTTGTCCTGTCCCCTTAGCAGAAAAACACCCCCAAAGCATAATGTTTCCACCTCCATGTTTGACGGTGGGGATGGGGTTCTTGGGGTCATAGGCAGCATTCCTCCTCCTCCAAACACGGCGAGTTGAGTTGATGCCAAATACCTTGATTTTGGTCTCATCTGACCACAACACTTTCACCCAGTTCTGCTCTGAATCATTCAGATGTTCATTGGCAAACTTCAGACGGGCCTGTATATGTGCTTTCTTGAGCAGGGGGACCTTGCGGGCGCTGCAGGATTTCAGTCCTTCACGGCGTAGTGTGTTACCAATTGTTTTCTTGGTGACTATGGTCCCAGCTGCCTTGAGATCATTGACAAGATCCTCCTGTGTAGCTCTGGGCTGATTCCTCACCGTTCTCATGATCATTGCAACTCCACGAGGTGAGATCTTGCATGGAGCCCCAGGCCGAGGGAGACTGACATTTCTTTTGTGTTTCTTCCATTTGCAAATAATCGCACCAACTGTTGTCACCTTCTCACCAAGCTGCTTGGCGATGGTCTTGTAGCCCATTCCAGCCTTGTGTAGGTCTACAATCTTATCCCTGACATCCTTGGAGAGCTCTTTGGTCTTGGCCATGGTAGAGAGTTTGGAATCTGATTGATTGATTGCTTCTGTGGACAGGTGTCTTTTATACAGGTAACAAACTGTGATTAGGAGCACTCCCTTTAAGAGTGTGCTCCTAATCTCAGCTTGTTACCTATATAAAAAGACACCTGGGAGCCAGAAATCTTTCTGATTGAGAGGGGGTCAAATACTTATTTCCCTCATTAAAAAATGCAAATCAATGTATAACATTTTTGACATGCGTTTTTCTGGATTTTTTTGTTGTTATTCTGTCTCTCACTGTTCAAATAAACCTACCATTAAAATTATAGACTGATCATTTCTTTGTCAGTGGACAAACGTACAAAATCAGCAGGGGATCAAATACTTTTTTCGCTCACTGTACATACATACACTACCGGTCAAAAGTTTTAGAACACCTACTCATTCAAGGGTTTTTCTTTATTTTGACTATTTTCTACATTGTAGAATAATAGTGAAGATATCAAAACTATGAAATAACACATATGGAATCATGTAGTAACCAAAAAAGTGTTAAGCAAATCAAAATATATTTTATATTTAAAATTCTTTAAATAGCCACCCTTTGCCTTGATGACAGCTTTGTGCACTCTTGGCATTCTCTCAACCAGCTTCATGAGCTAGTCACCTGGAATGCATTTCAATTAACAGGTGTGCCTTCTTAAAAGTTAATTTGTGGAATTTCTTTCCTTCTTAATGCGTTTGAGCCAATCAGTTGTGTTTTGACAAGGTAGGGGGGTATACAGAAGATAGCCCTATTTGGTTAAAGACCAAGTCCATATTATGGCAATAACAGCTCAAATAAGCAAAGAGAAACAACAGTCCATCATTACTTTAATGAAGGTCAGTCAATACGGAAGCTTTCAAGAACTTTGAACGTTTCTTCAAGTGCCGTCGCAAAAAACATCAAGCGCTATGATGAAACTGGCTCTCATGAGGACCACCACATGAATGGAAGACCCAGAGTTACCTCTGCTGCAGAGGATAAGTTCATTAGAGTTACCAGCCTCAGAAATTGCAGCCCAAATAAATGCTTCACAGAGTTCAAGTAACAGACACATCTCAACATCAACTGTTCAGAGGAAACTGTGTGAATCAGGTCTTTATGGTCGAATTGCTGCAAAGAAACCACTACTAAAGGACACCAATAATAAGAAGAGACTTGCTTGGGCCAAGAAACACGAGCAATGGACATTAGACTGGAGGATAATTTGTCCTTTGGTCTGGAGTCCAAATTGGAGATTTTTGGTTCCAACCGCAGTGTCTTTGTGAGACGCGGTGTGGGTGAACGGATGATCTCCGCATGTGTATTTCCCACCGTAAAGCATGGAGGAGGTGGTGTTATGCTTTTCTGGTGACACTGTCTGTGATTTATTTAGAATTCAAGGCACACTTAACCAGCATGGCTACCACATCATTCTGCAGTGATACGCCATCCTATCTGGTTTGGGCTTAGTGGGACTATCATTTGTTTTTCAACACGACAATGACCCAACACACCGCCAGGCTGCGTAAGGGCTATTTTACCAAGAAGGAGAGTGATGGAGTGCTGCATCAGATGACCTGGCCTTCACAATCACCCGACCTCAACCAAATTGAGATGGTTTGGGATGAGTCGGACCGCAGAGTGAAGGAAAAGCAGCCAACAAGTGCTCAGCATATGTGGGAACTCCTTCAAGACGGTTGGGAAAGCATTCCAGGTGAAGCTGGTTGAAAGAATGCCAAGAGTGTGCAAAGCTGTCATCAAGGCAAAGGGTGGCTATTTGAAGAATCTCAAATATAAAATATATTTTGATTTGTTTAACACTTTTTTTGGTTACTACATGATTCCATATGTGTTATTTCATAGTTTTGATGTCTTCAATATTATTCTACAATGTAAAAAATAGTCAAAATAAAGAAAAACCCTTGAATGAGTAGGTGTTCTAAAACATTTGACCGGTAGTGTACATACACACATGTTAAAACACATATTTACATACATCATTGGTCTCTACCCCCCCAGGACCTGTACAGTGGTCTAATTGGTCCCCTAGTGATATGTGCGCGGAGCTATGCGAGGACGTTTGGACTGAAGAAGGAAGTGGAGGAGTTTGCGCTCCTCTTCATGGTGTTCGATGAGAACGAGTCCTGGTACCTGGACGACAACATCAAAACAAACATCAAGACCCCCTCCAGGAACATCAAAGAGGACGAGGATTTCATCGAGAGCAATAAAATGCATGGTGAGGCTGTGGGGGAAAGAGGGGTGTGGGTTATTTTACCACTCTTAATAGGAAAGCATTTGCTTAATGATTTCTGAAGCATTTATATTAGGCCTTATAAAGGATTTATGAAGCCTTTCGTAATTAGGCCTTAAAAAGCGCTTGTTTGTTTGTTTGAAGTGGGACCAGGGCCTAGTCACAAAGCGTCTCAGAGTAGTAGTGCTGATCTAGGACCAGTTTAGGCTTTTAGATCATAGTGAGTAAGATTATATAAACGGGGGGGGGGGGGGGATCTGATCCTAAATCAGTACACCTACTATGAGACTCTTGATAAATACTGCCCCGGATAAATTGACGCGTCACTGACACTTGTGTGTGTCTCTGCTGCAGGCATCAACGGGCAGCTGTATGGAAACCTGCTGGGACTGAATATGGAAGTGGGGGACAAGGTGTACTGGTACCTGATGGGGATGGGTAATGAGATAGACCTCCACACTGCCCACTTCCACGGGCACAGCATCGACTATAAGGTAAGGTCCCATGTGACCATATTTAAAAAGTCAAAAACCCGTTAGGTGTACATTTCCTGAAAACGTTCAAAGCAGCATAACTTTACCTCTAATTTAAGTGTATGAAGCTCTGGATCATCAGAATTTTTATGAAAACAGAACATTGAATTTTGTATGCATACGCTTTATCTAAGGAACGCACAGGGCGTGTAGACTTTTGGGGCTCAATTCAAATCTGCGCTACAGCACGATAGAAATTTAAAAAGGCAATGTTCACGCATTAGCGGAGACTGCATTCACGGTAAACGCTGCATAGGACGGCTCAATCGGAAATTACCTTTAAATTCCAATCACGCTATAACGCTGAACTTCCACCCTACGGATTGAATCAAGCCCTTGTTCTTCTAGCCCAGGAATAATACATCTGAATCAACTCATGGTACATACATTCTCTGGTCCTGTGTTCCCCAGCTGAGTGGAGAGTCCCACCGTACAGACGTGATTGGCCTGTTCCCAGGCACCTTCCAGACGGTGAAGATGAAGCCTAAGTACCCTGGCTCTTGGCTGCTGCACTGCCACGTCGCAGACCACATCAAGGCCGGCATGGTGACTGTCTACACAGTCACTGAGAAAGGTGAGGAGTGTGTGTGGGTTGTGTTCACTGTGTGTGAAAAGTGTGTGTGTGTGTGTGTGTGTGTTTACTCTATAATTTTGCTGTTACATTATACAACTAACCTCTGTGTGTTTTTGTGTCTTCAGAAAAGAAGGGCTTTTTTGGATGAACACGGAGCATAAAACTTCATTAAAAACACAGAAAACAGCAAAGAAAAGCTACGTACATCTTCAGTAATTACACATTGACCTCGTATTCCACACAAGGAGCACAGTGACCACTGACCACAAACTGAATGCATGAATTAACTAAAATGGCTTTAATACAGGGTTTAAGCAATGAGCAATGTCTAATGTCAATGCTCTAAAATCAATTTTGAATTAAAACAAATATAAAATCCTCCCTGATGTTGTTTCTAATGTTGTCCAACATTGGCACAAACCGACAGTGTCTAGGATTTACAGAGAACGGCGCAACAAACAAAAAACATCCAGTCAGCAGCAGTCCTGTGGGTGAAAACATCTCGTTGATGTGAGAGGTCGAAGGAGAATGGCAAGAATGGTGCAAGCTAACAGGCGGCCCACAGACAAATAACGGTGCAGTAAAACAGTGGTGTGCAGAACGGCATCTCGGAACGCACAACTCGTCGGTCCTTGTCACGGATGGGCTATTGCAGCAGACGACCACACTGGGTTCCACTCCTATCAGCTAAAGACAAGAAGCAGCAGCTCCAGTGGACACGCGATCACCAACACTGGACAATTGAGGAGTGGAAAAACATTGCCTGGTCCGACGAATCCCGGTTCCTGTTGCGTCATGCTGATGGCAGTCAGGATTTGGCGTAAGCAGCATGAGTCCATGGACCAATCTTGCCTGGTGTCAACGGTACAGGCTGGTGGCGGAGGTATACCGCCGTCCAATCTGCAGCAACTGTGTGATGCCATCTCGTCAGCATGGACCAACATCCCCGTGGAACCTTTCCGACATGTCGAATCCATGCCCCGAAGAATTCAGACTGTTCTGGAAGCAAAGGGGGGTCCGACACGGTATTAGATAGGTGTACCTAATAAACTGGCCAGCGAGTGTATACTCCAATATATTGCTAATGTGTTTGTGAAAGGAGCAGAACCAACATGAAATGTTTTTAGAGAGCATTTATTAAGGCAGCGAAAAAAAAAAATAAAACGATCAAAGCAAAACATTTCAACACTGGGAATAGAATAAACACCGGGTTTCACAGTAGTGAGGTCACAGCTTTCAGAGAAGCTTCCTTCCTTCCACGTTATTCAACCACCTTTTCCTATCGCTTCACCCAATGAACACCAGAAAAGCCAGACCAGTCCAGTGTATAAGTCAACATCCAGTTCCTAATACTCAGTAATAAAGAAAAGGTCTCACAGTGATTCAGGGGTGTCCACAAGTCCCCACAGAAGAGGACTTGTACCCTCAGGGTATGACTAGCAACATGACGTCAATACTTCCTAACAGAAATAGAAAAAGTGAGGTCAGAAAAATCAGGATTTCCTTATTAAATCAGAAAATAATCATATCTCTGCACAGCAAAATTCTCTGTTCACATTCATTTGACTAATAGGACTACAGACGGTGGTTTTGTATGGGTACCGTTTTCATAAGGCTCTACAGTAGTAGTGCTTTGAGAAGCTCACTACAATCTGTAAGTGGTTGATTGTCCAGCACGGTCCATGTTTAGGATCCTCCATAGAAATAGAATCAGTAGAAGGGACACTTCCATTCAAACCAGTGGTCCGTTGCAGGTGCATCAGTTGCTGTACTGGGCGTACCATTTGGAATGTGTGCTGAAAATGGACACTAACTAACCGGTTCTACGTAGGCAAACATGTCAAATTCTACTAATCTGCCCTATTGGATGGAGCAGGAAATAAAACAGTGTCTTTCAGAGCTACTGTATGTCTGTTCTACTAATTGTAATTCTACGGCCCGTTTCTCTGGCTGCACTCCAGCAGGTGAGGCAGGAAGAAGTGGGCCGTCCCGTCGTCAGGCAATAGGTCCAGGAACTCCAGGGGGTTCAGCTCCATGGCAACCACCACCAGCGTTTCTGTTGTCAGGGAAAATGCAGATGTTATGGCCGAAACTCTCTGAATATTGAAGGGGCAATCTGCAATTGATACTATACATACATTTTTATACTTTTAAATGAATTATATTAATCCAATGATTCTTGAAGAATCTATACTGAACAAAAATAAACCCAACATGCAACAATTTCAACGATTTTACGGAGTTACAGTTCATATAAGGAAATCAGTCAATTGAAATAAATTCATTAGGCCCTAATCTATGGATTTCACATGACTGGGCAGGGGCGGAGCCATGGCTGAGCCTGGGAGGGCATATGCCTGGGAGCCAGGCCCAGTCAATCAGAATTAGTTTCTCCCCACAAAAGGGATTTATTACAGACAGAAATACTCCTCAGTTTCATCAGCTGTCTGGGGTGGCTGGTCTTTAACGATCCTATAGGTGAAGAAGCCAGATGTGGAGGTCCTGGGCTGGGGTGGTTACGCGTGGTCTGCGGTTGTGAGGCCAGTTGGACGTACTGCCAAATTCTCTAAAACGATGTTGGAGGCGGCTTATGGTAGAGAAATTAACATTACATTCTCTGGCAAAAGCTCTGGTGGACATTCCTGCAGTCAGCAAGCCAATTGTGGTATTGTGTTGTGTGATAAAACTGCACATTTTAGAGTGGCCTTTTATTGTCCCCAGCACAAGGTGCACCTGTGTAATGATCATGCTGTTTAATCAGCTTCTTGATATGCCACACCTGTCAGGTAATGGATTATCTTGGCAAATGAGAAATTCTCACTAACAGGGATGTAAACAAATTTGTGCACAACATTTGAGAGAAATAAGCTTTTTTGTGCTTATGGAACATTTCTGGGATCTTTTATTTCAGCTCATGAAACCAACACTTTACATGTTGTTTATATTTTGGTTCAGTGTATTACATCTATAAACCACATGATCTTAGTTCAACTGTTGTAACCAATCAGAACCCCAAATATAAGCTTGTTTTACTCCAATGTTTGTAAACAATGTCATTGTTAACAAACTCTGTATAGCCTCAAAACATATTTAAAACTATAAAATGTTGATATCATGGATGGTCAGTCCTTGCATCCATAACTCTAATCATTTGAGACTGGTTATACTTATCCAGCCCCATCCCTAAGCATGTTACCCAAAACAGTGGTGGGGTATGCTTTGTTATTGTTTGAACTGCAAATTGCCCCTTTAACCACAGCAAAGGAGGTGACATTCTGGAGTTAAACCTTATGCTTGAAACACAGGCTAGAGTCTAACGGTGAAACTATACTGACACCGTGACGAGAGCGTCCCGTCAACTCCCTCATCACGAGAGCGTCCCGTCACCTCCCTCATCACGAGAGCGCCCCGTCATCTCCCTCATCACGAGAGCGCCCCGTCATCTCCCTCATCACGAGAGCGCCCCGTCATCTCCCTCATCACGAGAGCGCCCCGTCATCTCCCTCATCACGAGAGCGCCCCGTCATCTCCCTCATCACGAGAGCGCCCCGTCATCTCCCTCATCACGAGAGCGTCCCGTCATCTCCCTCATCACGAGAGCGTCCCGTCATCTCCCTCATCACGAGAGCGTCCCGTCATCTCCCTCATCACGAGAGCGTCCCGTCATCTCCCTCATCACGAGAGCGTCCCGTCATCTCCCTCATCACGAGAGCGTCCCGTCATCTCCCTCATCACGAGAGCGTCCCGTCATCTCCCTCATCACGAGAGCGTCCCGTCATCTCCCTCATCACGAGAGCGCCCCGTCATCTCCCTCATCACGAGAGCGTCCCGTCATCTCCCTCATCACGAGAGCGTCCCGTCATCACCCTCATCACGAGAGCGTCCCGTCATCTCCCTCATCACGAGAACGTCCCGTCATCTCCCTCATCACGAGAGCGCCCGTCATCTCCCTCATCACGAGAGCGCCCCGTCATCTCCCTCATCACGAGAGCTCCCCGTCAACTCCCTCATCACGAGAGCGTCCCGTCATCTCCCTCATCACGAGAGCGTCCCGTCATCTCCCTCATCACGAGAGCGTCCCGTCATCTCCCTCATCACGAGAGCGTCCCGTCATCTCCCTCATCACGAGAGCGTCCCGTCATCTCCCTCATCACGAGAGCGTCCCGTCATCTCCCTCATCACGAGAGCGTCCCGTCATCTCCCTCATCACGAGAGCGTCCAAAATCTGCTTCTTGTGATATGCTGATAGAATGGAAATGCCCCGCCTACATTTCGGCCACACATCTCGTAATGGGAGGATATTTGCATGTTTGTTGTAATTAAAATGATTTGAAGTAGTTATATCAGCGTTTAGATTTTTTTTTTTTTTTACAGAAGCCTAAAATGCAATACCAAACCTTTCAATGTGTGCAGGGTGATTTTTGCTATTTTCCTACTTAGTTTTATGATTATTGAGATTATTTGTGAATTTATATGTGATATTATGTGCTTATTTTCTGTGTAGCTACAGCTATGCAACGCTGGCGAGGAAAATAGACTGGAAGCGTAAAACTACACTGATTCAAGCGAGCCTCGCTTCGCAGACGACAAACTGCTTTCGCGTCCGGTATAGCATGTCTCATAGATCACAGTGAGTTGTTAAACTGCAGTTCACGTTACGGAGACGCGACGGTGACAGTGTAGTTTGGACCGTGAGTGTACCTTTGAGTGCAGACAGTAGGATGGCGTTCTCGCCCCGTGTTGCTCTGGTTCTCTCACACAGCTCAGGGAACAGCTTCTGCCACCACAGAGCCTGAACGAAAAACACATGAATCCATTAGAAAGAGCTACACTATAGAACCATTGAAATAAAAAAGGCAATGTTCCCGTGTTTTCGCGGAGACTGCATTCACTGTAAACGCTGCGTATGTTGTCTCAATCTGAAATGACCTTTAAAATGGCGCTATTACGCATACCTTCCGCGCTACGGATTGAATCCAGCCCTTAGTATTCAGAGCGTAGGATGGAGGCTAGATGTTATGAGGATTTAAGGTTGTGCAAGTACGCGCACGGTGTGAGTTCAACAGTCGGGTTAGAGGAGTCCGGGGCATGTTTCACAGAAGGATGACAGTTACAGAGTACCCACCATTTTGTTGTTCTGCAGCTCGTGGTTAGCGTAAGGGATGATGGCCTGAGGACAGCGGTCCAGCAGCCTCTCCATGGAGCTCTCGTGGCGGCCCAGCTTGGTGGCACAGAGCACGTGCACACTGAGCCCCGCGTTGTCCCCGTCTGGCAGCTGCTCCAACAGGGGCAGGATGGACGACACGTCCAGGGTGGGGCCGCACAGCAGGGACTGGATGGGTCATTGTTTGTTCACCATAGTGGTACATTTACATGTAAGGGTTAAAAAAAAGCTTTATTTTACAAGTTGATTGGTTGGTTGATTGATTGATTCCATGTCTGATTGATAAATAGCACGCGCATGATGTAGAGAGACTGACCTGTAGTTTGTGGAGGTCCTCTTGGTCATCTGGAATGATGTTGAAGTGAGCTGGAGTTAGGATGCTGACCCAGGGATACAACACGCCGTAGTGAGAACACCAGTTGATCTACAACACAGAAACAGTCACCCAGGGATACAACACGCCGTAGTGAGAACACCAGTTGATCTACAGACAGACAGACAGACAGACAGACAGACAGACAGCAGGACAACCTCTCCACTACCTCCTAGGCTCCATCCCTAGGGAACATCACACCTTACTGAGAAGAACACACTACAGACACACAAACACACCAGGTCGTCTGCGCTTTTGAGCGGTTTGAATCCGTGGCCGTCTCGGCGTGTGATGCGGTCGATGTAGACAGTGGTGAGGCGGAACAGCAGCTCCTGGATGACAGCTTCCTGTGACGAGGCCATCAGCAGGGCCTCCCAGAAGTCAACCAGCAGCTGAGGGCCTCCCTGGGGCCCCGACACGTCCCAACACAGCTCCTACAGAACACACACACACACACACACACACACACTTCAATACATTCACAATGAAACGCATTACATATTGTCACATTTTGGAATCGAATCCTGGAGGAAATTCTATAGGAATGACACACACACTGTAACCCCTAACCTGGAAGAAGAGGTTAGCCTCGTCCAGTTTGACCTTGTCGTTCTCGTGCAGCGCCACCATGGCTGCCACCAGCAGGCCGTCCTGGCTGTCCCTGAGGTGGCGCGCCAGGAGAGTGGGCACCACCCCGTCCCCTCTGCCATGCAGCAACAGCTTGGCTTCCTCAATGAACCCATACACCTGCAGCATCTGGAGGTGGGCATAGAGCAGATACACTGTTCACACACACACACACACACACACACACACACACACACACACACACACACACACACACACACACACACACACACACACACACACACACACACACACACACGCGCTCCTTCCCCCACCACGACACACAAACATGATCAGACCTCTGTGTGTCGGTCCATGTGTTGCCTGTAGAGCTGCAGGTCTCCCATGCGGAGGGCCAGGGCAGCCTTGGACAGGGTGAGGGGTACGGAGGGGGCTCCGATGGCCTCCAGGCGCTCTAGGTGGGCCAGGCCACAGTCAGGGCTAGCTCTAACCATGGAGGGGCTGGCTATGACATGGGGGAGCTGGGACGGCTCGGCCGCACCGAAGATATCCAGCACCTCGTTGGCTGTCTCCTACAACACACACACACACACACACACACACACACACACACAGACACCACGGAATATCTACAGTGTGGCTATTGAATCAGATGTGCTAGTGTTGGAATTGAACAAGTATGTGGAATGGCTGTTGGTCTCCGAGGCCTGGTGTAAGTCACCTCAGTGAGCTGCTCCAGGGTCTCCTCACAGAGGGAGTGTTTGAGGAAGAAGAGGAAGCCTTTCCCGTAGCCACAGAGGCTGTTAGACAGACCCCTGTTCCTGAAGATCACCTCGGTCACAGACAGGCCTGACATCTTATAGTAGGGCAGGGCCAGGTGGCAGTCACGCTTATCAAACCTACACATCAGTGGAAGGGATGGTCGCACTTTATATTAAAGTAAACCAACTAACATATCAATCAACTTAACATATAGATCAATCAACCTTGATGTTAATGTGACCCCCGACCCCACTGACCTGCTGAAGCAGTCTCCTAACTGGGCGCAGCTCTCCAGGAAGGCTTGCTGCAGCTCCTCTCGGTCTGTGGTCCCTGTTGTTGTAGATCTCATGGCCTGGGCAAGGTTCTGACCAGTGGTCAGAGGCCCCTCTACAGGGTTTCCCACCCGGGGGTCCAGGAGCGTGGCTCTCAGGAGGAGGTGGGCTTCACTGAGCAGGTGCAGACAGCTCTGAGACAGAGGGTTGGTCTCCTCATACTTCTTACTGTACTCCACCTAGCCCAGAGAAAAGGTTCATTGCTGAATGCAAGGTTAAACACTATAAATGATTGTTGAATGCATGGTTAAACAGTATAAATGATTGTTGAATGCATGGTTAAACAGTATAAATGATTGTTGAATGCAAGGTTAAACACTATAAATGATTGTTGAATGCATGGTTAAACAGTATAAATGATTGTTGAATGCATGGTTAAACAGTATAAATGATTGTTGAATGCATGGTTAAACACTATAAATGATTGTTGAATGCATGGTTAAACACTATAAATGATTGTTGAATGCATGGTTAAACACTATAAATGATTGTTGAATGCAAGGTTCAGCACAACCAACACAGGCCAAATAAAACATTATGGTAAAATTAGGTAAGGTGTCATAACGTTAAGGTTTTTGTTGACATGTTATCATGGTGCGGTACCATCTCGTTGTAGAGCTGGAGTGGGGGGACGGTGTTGACCACGTACAGGTTCCAGCCATGACCCATCTCACTGGGATTCTGGGGCTTGGTGAAGGACGACTTCCTGTTCCTGGGCCAGAGAAGCAGGAAGTACAGTCAGCTCATCTCCATAATGGCCACAGATGGCTGACATTACAGCTTCTAGGAGGTCAGAAACTACAGCTCATCTCCCATAACATCAAGCTCAAACGGTTACAGTAGACCCCTGGTCTGGACCATGCAGAATGCTAAGTTTAAGTTTAAGTGTGTAGCTCAATTGGAGCTCACATGAATGCCACAAACCTATGAGCTCAAAGACTAGCAAACATTTAGTTTCAGTTCCAGTTCACATTTACATGTGAGTCATTTAGCAGACGCTCTTATCCAGAGCGACTTACAGTTGGTGCATTCATCTGAAGGGGGCTAGGTGAGACAACCACATAGCATAGTCATAGTGAGTAAAACAATTCCTCAACAAAGCATCTATCAGCAAAGCCTGTGCTAGCACTTCTCCCTAAAAAGGTTAGTCTGACTACCTAGCAATCACCAGAGGATGTTATTGAGGGCAGGGGTTTGGGGGTTAATGCGAATCAGACATGTTGCATGCTTTTATTCACGACTCCACATGTTAACACACAAGGCCTGCTGACTCATGTGCGGAACATATTGTATGTGTGTGTGTGTGTATGTGTGTGTGGGTATGTGTGTGTGTGTGTGTGTGTGTGTGTGTGTTGTGGTGTAGTGTTGTGTGTGTGTATGTGTGTCATGTGAGAGTGTTGTGTGTGTGTGATTGTGTAGTTGGTGAATCTCATGGTGTTGTGGTGTAGTTGTTTGTGTGTTGAGTGTCAGATACTGTCCAGTTGCATTGTTGTTCTGTCAGGTGTACGGTAGCTATGCAGTGTTAGTACCTGGTGGGTTCAGTGATGCATTAACTGTGTATGTGTGATTTGATTAGTCCAGTGTAAGTGTACATGTGTGTGTTTCATGTCGTGTTGTGGATGGGTGTGTGAATGAGTGTGTTGTTACATTGTGTGATGGTGTTTTAGTGGTGTGTTCTAATGGTACTGTCGTTCGAGCGTATGCAGGTGGTTTGTATACTGTTTGTCTATTGGGTGATTCTACTGGTCACGGGTGGCATTTCTATGTGTCATGTGTGTGTGTTTGTACTGGTGCATTGGTGGTGTTTCTGAGGTAATGGTGTTGTCTATGGTCGATGGGGTGTTTCTATTCTGGTCACTGTGGGTGTTGCTACTGGTCATGGGTGTTGTTTCTACGGTCATCGGGGTGTTTCTACTGTCACGTTGGTGTTTTAGCAGTTTTCTACTGGTCACGGGGTTCTTCTACTGGTCATGGGTGTGGTTTCTTAATGGTCATTGGGGTGGTGTTTCTACTGGTCATGGGGTGTTTCTATGGTCACTGGTTTTCACTGGTCTGGGGTTTCTTTTACTGGTCATGGGGTGTTTTTCTACTGGTCATGGGGTGTTTCTACTGGTCAGGGTGTTTCTACTGGTCATGGGGTGTTTTTCTACTGGTCATGGGGTGTTTCTACTGGTCATGGGGGTTTTTCTACTGGTCACGGGTGTTTTCTACTGGTCATCGGGGTTTTTCCTACTGGTCAGGGTGTTTCTACTGGTCAGGGGTGTTTTACTTCATGTTTCTACTGGTCACGGGGTGTTTTACTGTCAGGTGTTTCTACTGGTCATGGGGTGTTTCTACTGGTCACGGGGTGTTTCTACTGGTCATGGGGTGTTTCTACTGGTCACGGGGTGTTTCTACTGGTCATGGGGTGTTTCTACTGGTCATGGGGTTTCTACGGTTGGTTTTCTACTGGTCATGGGGTGTTTCTACTGGTCACGGGGTGTTTCTACTGGTCACGTGGTGTTTCTACTGGTCATGGGGTGTTTCTACTGGTCACGGGGTGTTTCTACTGGTCACGGGGTGTTTCTACTGGTCACGTGGTGTTTCTACTGGTCATGGGGTGTTTCTACTGGTCACGGGGTGTTTCTACTGGTCACTGGGGTGTTTCTACTGGTCATGGGTGTTTCTACTGGTCACGGGGTGTTTCTACCGGTCATGGGGTGTTTCTACTGGTCACGGGGTGTTTCTACTGGTCATGGGGTGTTTTCTACTGGTCATGGGGTGTTTCTACTGGTCATGGGGTGTTTCTACTGGTCACGTGGTGTTTCTACTGGTCACGTGGTGTTTCTACTGGTCACGTGGTGTTTCTACTGGTCATGTGGTGTTTCTACTGGTCATGGGGTCTTCCAACCTCTGGAGCCATCATGCTCTAGTCTAATCAGGCGTACTGGGTTTCTATCTGGAGCCATCATGCTCTAGTCTAATCAGGCGTACTGGGTTTTCAAACATTAATGCTCACTGTACATAATATATGCCACTTAGCAGACGCTTTTATCCAAATGCGACTTAGAGTCATCCTTGCATACAGTTTACATACCGGTGGTCCCGGGAATCGAACCGCCATGCTCTAACAACTGAGCTACATAGGACCACTACATGAATGACATGATATTATGTACAGTAGGTGATATCATCACACTGATATGATGTACTGTTTAGTCCATCAGTTAGTGACTAGACACACAGGGTGATATTGTTTTAGTGGGGTTGGGGTTTGGGGGATATTCCGGGTGGACACCATCAAGTGGCCAGGAGACTTACAGGAAGGAGTGAGCCAGAAAGCTCTCCAGAGCCGGCGTGGTGGAAGGCTTTATACCTACTGCTAGGAAAATCCCCCTAAGGATTTTGTGATCTTTGTAATCTCTACAATAAGAGTTACAGGCACAATTGAAGCACAAGAGGGGAGATTCAGATATATATATTAAAATCCTATAAATTAACAATGCAATCTTTTGAACACAAATGTGAAGAAATAAAGTGTAGTTTCAGTGCTTAATAAATGATGGGTGTGTGTATTGACTGAACACTGCTTTACTTGTGCTACACAGTAAGATACAATATTCTTTTCACATTTTTGACGGTTTACCGGTATTTTGTGTTTCGGAATAATATAAGAAGTTCTTAATATGTTTTATGTGTAGTGCACGACCCTAAACATTATATGTGGTTTTAATGGTCTTTCCCCATTCTAATTGTTTTATACTAAACCAAAACTGACAGTGAAGTAGTCCAATTTGTAAAACTTTTCAATTATTTATCACTGTATTAAAATATAATTATAGAATATACAGTTGAAGTCGGAAGTTTACATACACCTCAGCCAAATACATTTAAACTCAGTTTTTCACAATTCCTGACATTCAATCCTAGTAAAAATTCCCTGTCTTAGGTCAGTTAGGATCACAACTTTATTTTAAGAATGTGAAATGTCAGAATAATAGTAGAGAGTGATTTATTTCAGCTTTTATTTCTTTCATCACATTCCCAGTGGGTCAGAAGTTGCACTCAATTAGTATTTGGTAGCATTGCCTTTAAATTGTTTAACTTGGGTCAAACGTTTCGGGTAGCCTTCCACAAGCTTCCCACAATCAGTTGGGTGAATTTTGGTCCATTCCTCCTGACAGAGCTGGTGTAACTGAGTCAGGTATGTAGGCCTCCTTGATCGCACACGCTTTTTCAGTTCTGCCCACACATTTTTTATAGGATTGAGGTCAGGGCTTTGTGATGGCCACTCCAATACCTTGACTTTGTTGTCCTTAAGCCATTTTGCCACAACTTTGGAAGTATGCTTGGGGTCATTGTCCATTTGGAAGACCCATTTGCGACCAAGCTTTAACTTCCTGACTGATGTCTTGAGATGTTGCTTCAATATATCCACATAATTTTCCTTCCTCATGATGCCATCTATTTTGTGAAGTGCACCAGTCCCTCCTGCAGCAAAGCACCCCCAACAGCATGATGCTGCCACCCCCGTGCTTCACGGTTGGGATGGTGTTATTCGGCTTGCAAGCGCCCCCTTTTTCCTCCAAACATAACGATGGTCATTATGGCCAAACAGTTCTATTTTTGTTTCATCAGACCAGAGGACATTTCTCCAAAAAGTACGATCTTTGTCCCCATGTGCAGTTGCAAACCGTAGTCTGGCTTTTTTATGGCGGTTTTGGAGCAGTGGCTTCCTCCTTGCTGAGCGGCCTTTCAGGTTATGTCGATATAGGACTCGTTTTACTGTGGATATAGATACTTTTGTACCCGTTTCCTCCAGCATCTTCACAAGGTCCTTTGCTGTTGTTCTGGGGTTAATCTCTAGGACACCGAACGGGTCTCCTTCCTGAGCGGTATGACGGCTGCGTGGTCCCATGGTGTTTATACTTGCATACTATTGTTTGAACAGATGAACGTGGTACCTTCAGGCATTTGGAAATTGCTCCCAAGGACAAGGATGAACCAGACTTGTGGAGGTCTACCATTTTCTTTCTGAGTTCTTGGCTGATTTATTTTGATTTTCCCATGATGTCAAGCAAAGAGGCACTGAGTTTGAAGGTAGGCCTTGAAATACATCCACAGGTACACCTCCAATTGACTCAAATTATGTCAATTAGCCTATCAGAAGCTTCTAAAGCCATGACATCATTTTCTGGAATTTTCCAAGCTGTTTAAAGGCACAGTCAACTTCGTGTATGTAAACTTCTGATTCACTGATTCAATGGAATTGTGATACAGTGAATTATAAGTGAAATAATCTGTCTGTAAACAATTGTTGGAAAAATTACTTGTGTCATGCACAAAGTAGATGTCCTAACCGACTTGCCAAAACTATAGTTTGTTAACGAGAAATTTGTGGAGTGGTTGAAAAACGAGTTTTAATGACTCCAACCTAAGTGTATGTAAACTTCCGACTTCAACTGTAGATGGTATCAAAATATAATTAAATAAAAAAATAATTTGCAGCATTAACCAGTATACCTTAAAAATACAATATCATCACCCAACCCTAGATCAGATGTCTTAACCATACAGTGAGGGAAAAAAGTATTTGATCCCCTGCTGATTTTGTACGTTTGCCCACTGAAAAAGAACTGATCAGTCTATCATTTTAAATGGTAGGTTTATTTGAACAGTGAGAGACAGAATAACAACAACAAAATCCAGAAAAACGCATGTCAAAAATGTTATAAATTGATTTGCATTTTAATGAGGGAAATAAGTATTTGAACCCCTCTGCAAAACATGACTTAGTACTTGGTGGCAAAACCCTTGTTGGCAATCACAGAGGTCAGACGTTTCTTGTAGTTGGCCACCAGGTTTGCACACATCTCAGGAGGGATTTTGTCCCACTCCTCTTTGCAGATCTTCTCCAAGTCATTAAGGTTTCGAGGCTGACGTTTGGCAACTCGAACCTTCAGCTCCCTCCACAGATTTTCTATGGGATTCAGGTCTGGAGACTGGCTAGGCCACTCCAGGACCTTAATGTGCTTCTTCTTGAGCCACTCCTTTGTTGCCTTGGCCGTGTGTTTTGGGTCATTGTCATGCTGGAATACCCATCCACGACCCATTTTCAATGCCCTGGCTGAGGGAAGGAGGTTCTTACCCAAGATTTGACGGTACATGGCCCCGTCCATCGTCCCTTTGATGCAGTGAAGTTGTCCTGTTCCCTTAGCAGAAAAACACCCCCAAAGCATAATGTTTCCACCTCCATGTTTGACGGTGGGCATGGTGTTCTTGGGGTCATAGGCAGCATTCCTCCTCCTCCGAACATGGCGAGTTGAGTTGATGCCAAAGAGCTCAATTTTGGTCTCATCTGACCACAACACTTTCACCCAGTTCTCCTCTGAATCATTCAGATGTTCATTGGCAAACTTCAGACGGGCCTGTATATGTGCTTTCTTGAGCAGGGGGACCTTGCGGGCGCTGCAGGATTTCAGTCCTTCACGGCGTAGTGTGTTACCAATTGTTTTCTTGGTTACTATGGTCCCAGCTGCCTTGAGATCATTGACAAGCTCCTCCTGTGTAGTTGGGGGCTGATTCCTCACCGTTCTCATGATCATTGCAACTCCACGAGGTGAGATCTTGCATGGAGCCCCAGGCCGAGGGAGATTGACAGTTCTTTTGTGTCCATCCATTTGCAAATAATCGCACCAACTGTTGTCACCTTCTCTTCAAGCTGCTTGGCGATGGTCTTGTAGCCCATTCCAGCCTTGTGTAGGTCTACAATCTTGTCCCTAACATCCTTGGAGAGCTCTTTGGTCTTGGCCATGGTGGAGAGTTTGGAATCTGATTGATTGATTGCTTCTGTGGACAGGTGTCTTTTATACAGGTAACAAGCTGAGATTAGGAGCACTCCCTTTAAGAGTGTGCTCCTAATCTCAGCTCGTTACCTGTATAAAAGACACCTGGGAGCCAGAAATCTTTCTGATTGAGAGGGGGTCAAATACCTATTTCCCTCATTAAAATGCAAATCAATTTATACCATTTTTGACATGCATTTTTCTGGATTTTGTTGTTGTTATTCTGTCTCTCACTGTTCAAATAAACCTACCATTAAAATTATAGACTGATCATTTCTTTGTCAGTGGGCAAACGTACAAAATCAGCAGGGGATCAAATACTTTTTTCCCCCCTCACTGTAAATCTATAGCATTGCCTAAATTGGAATTGGTCCGATTTTGAAGCAGTATTTAGTTTGATTGGAGTCAATTGCAAAGGTATATTTCCTTTCTCATCAAGTGTGGCTCCAGCTATGACTACAGTGACTAAGTATGAGTGAGTGAGAGACCTACGTGACCCTGCGTGCGGTCCTCTCTGTGTCCTCCCTGGTCTCCACATCTGCAGCGGTCAGCAGAACGATGTGGTGACGGTAATGACACAGAGCTTTCAGACCAATGAACAGCTGCATTCGCAGAGCACACATCTCCATGGTGATGGGAGGACAGGCCTGCACACACACACACACACACACACACACACACACACACACACACACACACACACACACACGGCAGTTACACTTGAGCGTCTTTTATTACCTGGTGGTTGTTAAGTTGGTGAAATTGTAATGACATTGTTCTTACCTAACAATTACACTTTTGTATCTTTGGGATTGATTGAAAATAAAATCACATTGCTGTTACATGTCAAGTGGATATCCATTGAGAACGGTTTCTTGCAGATATTAAGGTCTTACTCTGGGAAACTGACGGGAGGGGCAGTAAGTAGCCACGCACAATGAAGATTCCACATTAAATCGAATTGGGCCTCCCAGCATGTGCAGACCAATCACATTACTGTAGAACACTAAGATTCCATTTAGCCCCTCAATTACCATTCCAGAGAGACACTGATGCCCTGTCTAACAAGGTGCTGCTCAGATTCCACTGTGTCACTGTTGGACACGCATGCATGCATGCATAGACACACACTGCGCAAAACAACGGGACTCTTGTGACCAGATGCAACTGTGCAAGTGGTTGCCATTTTAAGCCCTTTCAACCTCCAACATCTTTGTGAATGTAACGCAGCGATCTGAGCCAAGCAGACAGCTATCTGTATTTATGGAGAAGCTCTGGATCCACTCTAATGACTTCCTGTCTTATTGTGTAGCAGGGCCAATCGAGGCACAACCCAAATCACACACAAGAGGGGAAGCCTCAGTCAAAGCATCCTTAAGATCAATAACGAAGATGTCCAAGGCATAGGGGTAGATATGGTGAAAATTCCACCAAGCCTGACGGATAGCTAAACGTTTTTCCGGTCTTCAGATTTTTAAAGCGCTCCCTAGGGGTCCGGCCGTGGATCGATCTGTCTTCCATTAGCTAAGGGCAGTGGGGTGATCCTCACCTTCATTGTGGTGTCGATGTAAGGGTCTTCAGCTCTGGCTGCCACTGCTGTACACCTCACGGAGAAGCACTGGAGAGCATTCCTGACAAACACAGGTATAAATTAGGGCCCTGTGTTTTGTGAGATCATGTGACACGCCTGGATTCTGACCTTTATTTAAAGCTTTTTCATCAAACTGTCCCCTTTTCTTTTCATGTCAGATGGTCCAGCACCGTCCTCAGAAAATTGCGTTCATTTTAGGTGGAATTCTCATTTCTGGATCAGGCTTGAAATATAAAGATAAAATCTTGCTATGTCACATGATTGCGCAAACACAGTAGGGTTGGGCGGTATCCAGATTTTCATACTGTCATACAGTTTCTGTACCATACTGGGGTATACCAACTCAGTCGATATTTCGAAATATACTGTTTATACCATATACCGGGGTATCACCTAAGTCTAAAAACACAGGGCCCTAAGTTAGATAAGACTACCTGCCTCATGGACTTCCTTTACCGTCTCTAGATGCCCCGCCCTGTCCTGTACTTACTTTGTGATGATGTGGAGGAAGAGGTCAGTGAGGACGGCCTGCTGGGCCTTCTCTGGATACTGATAGGCTGAGACCATCTGAACCCCGCCCCTCACGCTGTACAAGTAGCCCGTCTTGGGCAGCGAGAAGAAACAGAACACACACGTCGGCTCCACCCCTCTACCCCCCTCCACACACACTTCCTGGTTACCTGGTTGTCAGGGAGAGGAGACCAATGGAACAGAGAGGGATGAGACGTGAAAGGTACTCCTACTTTACTTTAAGTGTCCCTCATACCTATGTATTTACACTACATGTTAGTTCCATAGGTAGGGAAAGAGACATGTATTTAGAGTAGGGACATTGAGGTTTCTGCATTATGATGCATTTACATGACACTGCAACATTCTATGGCCGCCATGTTTGCTACATTGTCTCACGTCAGATGGTGTCGCGCCTCCGCGATGCTCGTCCCTCAACCGATCTGTCTTGTAGGGCGTGAAACTGATAATCAAATTTGAATATTGACCATCCGCCATTCAGAAAATGAAAACATAGTCCCTAATTTCTGATATCACTGCGCTCTCATATGACTCTCCATGAAATAGGCAGAATAACTAGCTATCTAAATTACTACAAAACGTTGTGACAGTGATTTAATAATTTGCAATTGTGAGAAAATTAAAAACTAACCGGTGGTTATCTCCGGTACAAATTCTGTGCCAGGACGTTAGTCGCCAGTGCAGTGTCTTGATTAGCTGTGTAGCTAACTGTTGTAGCTAGTTAGCTTACTGACACAGTTAGCTAGCTAGTCAGCTAGCTCTTCCTTCACTGACATAAAAAGCTTGCTTAGCCTGTTTAAATTACCCTGAAGTTGTAGACATGCAGCCCCACAACTAAGAAGAACTGACTTAACAGAAATCGGTCCGTAGATCAGCATGTTTCTCCGCAATCCTATCGTTGGGTCAGCTGAACATAGCAGCTAACTCATGAACAGCTGCTTCATGAAAACTCATAATAATGTGAGCATAATTAGCACTACTAGCTAACTACAGTAGCTTGCTAGCTAGCTTTTGTTGGAAGATTCAACATTGTGTGTGCAGCACTAAGTAGGTAGCTGGTTGGTTGGTTAGCAGCATCGTTTCAGCTAACGTTAGCAAGCTAATGTTAATGTTGGACAAATTTATGCTAGCATTCGTGCCCATTGTCAAACATTAGAAATACTGCTCATTGAAGCACAATAATCCTTAGTTAAATTGACATATTTATTGTTTTAGGTTGGATTAATTAAAAAGTTGAGGCAGAAATGGAGTTCGGCAATGTCAACTAGGTAAGACTTTTGAAATGTTAGACAGTGCAAACTACTTTCGAGCTATCCATTACCCTTTGCGAGATATGAGACAGATCAGTGCAGGTGGAATCGGCGTGCTATCTGACGTAAGACAATGTGTTAGCTCAACATTAACATTACATGGGGAATATTTAAACAACGCTATGTAACTGTATGTCTAGAATTAGAACACTTAAATTCTAAAAGTTGGCCTAACTCTCTCTCTATACACACACATACATACACACACACACACACACATACACACACACACACATACATACAGTGGGGTAAAAAAGTATTTAGTCAGCCACCAATTGTGCAAGCAAATTGAGGGAAAAAAAATCCAGAAAATCACATTGTAGGATTTTTAATGAATTTATTTGCAAATTATGGTGGAAAATAAATATTTGGTCACCTACAAACAAGCAAGATTTCTGGTTCTCACAGACCTGTAACTTCTTCTTTAAGAGGCTCCTCTGTCCTCCACTCATTACCTGTATTAATGGCACCTGTTTGAACTTGTTATCAGTATAAAATACACCTGTCCACAACCTCAAACAGTCACACTCCAAACTCCACTATGGCCAAGACCAAAGAGCTGTCAAAGGACACCAGAAACAAAATTGTAGACCTGCACCAGGCTGGGAAGACTGAATCTGCAATAGGTAAGCAGCTTGGTTTGAAGAAATCAACTGTGGGAGCAATTATTAGGAAATGGAAGACATACAAGACCACTGATAATCTCCCTCGATCTGGGGCTCCACGCAAGATCTCACCCCGTGGGGTCAAAATGATCACAAGAACGGTGAGCAAAAATCCCAGAACCACACGGGGGGACCTAGTGAATGACCTGCAGAGAGCTGGGACCAAAGTAACAAAGCCTACCATCAGTAACACACTACGCCGCCAGGGACTCAAATCCTGCAGTGCCAGACGTGTCCCCCTGCTTAAGCCAGTACATGTCCAGGCCCGTCTGAAGTTTGCTAGAGTGCATTTGGATGATCCAGAAGAGGATTGGGAGAATGTCATATGGTCAGATGAAACCAAAATAGGACTTTTTGGTAAAAACTCAACTCGTCGTGTTTGGAGGACAAAGAATGCTGAGTTGCATCCAAAGAACACCATACCTACTGTGAAGCATGGGGGTGGAAACATCATGCTTTGGGGCTGTTTTTCTGCAAAGGGACTAGGACGACTGATCCGTGTAAAGGAAAGAATGAATGGGGCCATGTATCGTGAGATTTTGAGTGAAAACCTCCTTCCATCAGCAAGGGCATTGAAGATGAAACGTGGCTGGGTCTTTCAGCATGACAATGATCCCAAACACACCGCCAGGGCAACGAAGGAGTGGCTTCGTAAGAAGCATTTCAAGGTCCTGGAGTGGCCTAGCCAGTCTCCAGATCTCAACCCCATAGAAAATCTTCGGAGGGAGTTGAAAGTCTGTGTTGCCCAGCGACAGCCCCAAAACATCACTGCTCTAGAGGAGATCTGCATGGAGGAATGGGCCAAAATACCAGCAACAGTGTGTGAAAACCTTGTGAAGACTTACAGAAAACGTTTGACCTGTGTCATTGCCAACAAAGGGTATATAACAAAGTATTGAGAAACTTTTGTTATTGACCAAATACTTATTTTCCACCATAATTTGCAAATAAATTCATTAAAAATCCTACAATGTGATTTTCTGGATTTGTCTGTCATAGTTGACGTGTACCTATGATGAAAATGACAGGCCTCTCTCATCTTTTTAAGTGGGAGAACTTGCACAATTGGTGGCTGACTAAATACTTTTTCCCCCCACTGTACATACATACATACATACATAGCTCTGGGCAGGGACATTGTATTGAGGTTCTGACTCACTGGTGAACACAGGGTGGAACTGCAGGGAGTGCAGGCGGGTCTCCTCCACACTGCAGCCCTGGAAGAAGTCTGGAGCAAAACGCCTGGACAGGGGAGACTCAATATGATGAGACCAACACCTAGTACAACCACACACAGACGACACAGACACAGACACACACCTGTATAAGATATAGGTGATGGCGAGGTTGCCCCTGGCCTCACTCTCCATGCCGGTCCACTCCAGAGAGACCTTGAACCCACAGTCCTTGGCCCTGTCCCCCAGCAGCTCTTGGTGCTTAGGGAAAATGAAGAAGTCATCCTGATCATGGTGACCAGCCAGACCCTCTCTCCTCACCTCTGGGGAAAACAACACAGTCAGACAGAATATACAACCACACCATGTTTGGTGAAGTACTGTATGTAGTATCTGTAGCATCTGTTTTCACGTGTTACCCGTCTCGTTGTCCTGTTCTGCTCCAGTGATCATATCTTTGGGGACCAGACTGTGGTCCTGGGGCTTCTTGTCAGTTGACTTCTGGGTAGGGGCGGCACCAGGAAGTCTCTCCAGCTTGACCACCAGCACCTCCAGCTCTACCTGCAGGGCAATGTACCCTGCACAGATCGCCACCTGCAGGCAGGGAGGGCAACGTTCATAAATACTATTACAGAATATTTTCTATGCAAAGTTTGCATGACAGAATAACCTTCCCTAACTTAGGAGCGGCAGGTAGCCTAGCGGTTAGTAAGGTGAGCCAGCAACCGGAGGGTTGCCAGTTCGAATCCCAGGTCAGACGGGAAAATAATTGGCGGGAAGTGAGCTGGCAAACGGAGGGTATCAAATCCTAGATGCCATTGCCTGCTTTTGTGCCCTGGAGCAAGGCACTAAATCCCCTGCACCTCTCTAAAACCTGTATATGTATTTGGTACATGGTATTTTATTAGGATCCCCATTAGCTGTTGTGAAAGCAGCAGCTACTCTTCCTGGGGTCCACACAGAACATGAATGGACAAGAACAGCTCAAGGACAGAACTACAAACATTTGCATGTCAATACATACAAACTATCTAGGTCAAGTAGGGGAGAGGCGTTGTGCTGTGAGGTGTTGCTTTATCGTTTTTTTTTTTAACCAGGTTTGCTGTTCATTTGAGCAATATTGGCTCTATATAATACTGTACGCTTTCTTGAATTTGTTCTGGATTTTGGGACTGTGAAAAGACACCTGGTGGCATGTCTGGTGGGGTAAGTGTGCGTGTCAGAGCTGTGCGTAAGTTGACTGTGCAAACAATTTGGAATTTTCAACATATTAATGTTTCTAATAAAAACAAGAAGAAGTGATGCAGTCAGTCTCTCCTCAACTCTTAGCCAAGAGAGACTGGCATGCATAGTATTTATACCAGCCCTCTGGTTACAATGAAGAGCAAGACGTGCCACTCTGTTCTGGGCCAGCTGCAGCTTAACTAGGTATTTCTTAGCAGCACTTGACCACATGGTGGGACACTAATCAAGATAAGATCAAACTAGAGCCTGCAGGACTTCCTTTGTGGAGTGGGTGTCAAAAAAGCAGAACATCTCTTATTACAGACAGACAGACCTCTACCCATCTTTACAACCATTGAATCTATATGTTTTGACAGCAACTCATTTAGTCTCCTCAACTTGTTCAACAGCCACACCATTCATTACCAGATTCAGCTGAGGTCTCGAGCTTAAGGAATGATTTGCACCAAATACAATGCTCTTACTTTTAGAGATGTTGAGGACCAGTTTATTAATGGCCACCCATTCCAAAACTGACTGCAACTCCTTGTTAAGGGTTTCAGTGACTTCATTAGCTGTGGTTGCTGACACGTACAGTGCATTCGGATTCAAACCCCTTGACTTCTTCCACATTGTTACGTTACAGCCTTATTCTAAAATTGATTAAATCGTTTTCCCCCCCCCCCTCGTCAATCTACACACAATACCCCATAATGACAAAGAAAAAAACCAGTATTTAGAAATGTTTGCAAATGTACTAAAAATGAAACACTGAAATCTCACGTAAGTATTCAGACCTTTTATTTTACTCAGTACTTTGTTGAAGCACATTTGGCAGCGATTACAGCCTCAAGTCTTCTTGGGTATAATGCTACAAGCTTGGCACACCTGTATTTGGGGAGTTTCTCCCATTCTTCTCTGCAGATCCTCTCAAGCTCTGTCAGATTGGATGGGGAGCGTCGCTACACAGCTATTTTCAGGTCTCTCCAGATATGTTAGATCGGGTTCAAGTCCGGGCTCTGGCTGGGCCACTCAAGGACATTCAGAGACCTGTCCCGAAGCCACTCCTGCGTTGTCTTGGCTGTGTGCTTAGGGTCTTTGTCCTGTTGGAAGGTGAACCTTCACCCCAGTCTGAGGTCCTGAGCGCTATGGAGCAGGTTTTCATCAAGGACCTCTCTGTACTTTGCTCCGTTCATCTTTACCTCGATCCTGACTAGTCTCCCAGTCCCTGCCGCTGAAAATCATCCCCACAGCATGATGCTGCCACCACCATGCTTCACTGTAGGGATGGTGCCAGGTTTCCTCCAGATGTGATGCTTGGCATTCAGGCCAAAGAGTTCAATCTTGGTTTCATCTGACCAGAGAATATTTATTCTCATGGTCTGAGAGTCTTTAGGTGCCTTTTGGCAAGCTCGAAGCGGGCTGTCATGTGCCTTTTACTGAGGAGTGGCTTCCGTCTGGCCACTTTACCATAAAGGCCTGATTTGTGGAGGGCTGCAGAGATGGTTGTCCTTCTGTAAGATTCTCCCATCTCCAAAGAGGAACTCTGTAGCTCTGTCAGAGTGACCATAAGGTTCTTGGTCACCTCCCTGACCAAGGCCCTTCTCCCCCGATTGCTCAGTTTGGCTGGGCGGCCAGCTCTAGGAAGAGTCTTGGTAGTTCCACATTTCTTCCATTTAAGAATGATGGCCACTGTGTTCTTGGGGACCTTCAACGCTGCAGACATTTTTTGGTACCCTTCCCAAGGTCTGTACCTCGACACAATCCTGTCTCGGAGCTCTACGGACAATTCCTTCAACCTCATGGCTTGGTTTTTGCTCGGACATGCACTGTCAACTGTGGGACCTTATATAGTGTGTGCCTTTCCAAATCACGTCCAATCAATTGAATTTACCACAGGTGGACTCCAATTAAGTTGTAGAAATATCTCAAGGATGATCAATGGAAACAGGATGCACCTGAGCTCAATTTCGAGTATCATAGCAAATGGTCTGAATACTTATGTAAATAAGGTATCTGTTTTATTTTTAATACATTTGCAAAAATGTGTAAAAACCTGTTTTCCTTTTGTCATTATGGAGGTATTGTGTCTAGATTGATGAGAAAATATTTTAAATCCATTTTAGAATAAGGCTGTAACGTAATAAAATGTGGAAAAAGTCAAGGGGTCTGAATACTTTACGAAAGCACTGTATATGGTTGAATCTTCACCATACATGGACAAATAGGCTTTGTTTAATGCCAGTGGCATGTCATTGGTAAAAGTAGAAAAAAGTAGAGGGCCTAGAGAACTGCCCTGCGGTACACCACACCCTACATGTTTGACATTAAAGAAGCTTCCATTAAAGAAAACCCTTTGAGTTATATTAGATACATAGCTCTGAATCCACAATATGGCAGAGGATGAAAAGCCATAACAACAGTTTACAGTCAATAATATCAAAGGTTGCACTGAAATCTAACAGTACAGCTCCCACAATCATCTTATTATCAATTTCTTTCAACCAATCATCAGTAATTTGTGTCAGTGCAGTACATGTTGAGTGCCCTTCTCTATAAGCATGCTGAAAGTCTGTTAAAATATGTTTACAGAGAAATAGCATTGTATTTGGTCAAACACATTGTTTCCCAACAGTTTGCAAAGAGCTGGCAGCAAGCTTATAGGTCTGCTGTTAGAACCAGTAAAGGCCGCTTTACCACTCTTGGGTAGCGGAATGACTTTGGCTTCCAGATAGGAGTGGCTATAGAGTCAGCTACCATCTAAGTTGTCAATGCCAGGAGGTTTGTCATTATTGATCGATAACAACAAAAAATCCACCTAACTTTACAAAATTCAAACAATGCTTTTCTTTCATTATTATTTTTTTTTTTAATGCATGAATACGATGGCTCACTGTTCGTTGTTGGCATTTCCTGCTTAAGTTTGTCCACTTTGCCAATGAAGTAATTATTACGTTTAGTCACAATGTCTCAATTTGCAGTAAGTCAGATGTGCAGCCAGACTTCTTAGCCACTCCTTTTGCCCCATCTCTTAAAACCATTCCGGTTTTTCCAATTCCTCTATCCATGGAGTTAACAGTTCTAACAGTCAGATTCTGGTGCTTGTATATAAATAACTTGAAGAAGCAATTTCATAAATTCATCAAGTGCAGCGTCTGGACGCTCCTTATTAATCACATCAGACCAACAAATATTTTTCACATCATCCACATCTCTTATACACTATTTTCGGGCCAGCTGTTGGAACCTTGGTTCTCCTAGATATAGCCACTATTAAGGTACATACTTTATGTATATGTACAGTTGAAGTCAGAAGTTTACATACACTTAGGTTGGAGTCATTAAAACTCGTTTTTCAACCACTCCACAAAGTTCTTGTTAACAAACTATAGTTTTGGCAAGTCGGATAGGAGATCTACTTTGTGCATGACACAAGTCATTTTTCCAACAATTTGTTTACAAGACCGATTATTTTCACTTGAATTTCACTGTATCACAATTCCAGTGGGTCAGAAGTTTACGTACACGAAGTTGACTGTGCCTTTAAACAGCTTGGAAAATTCCAGAAAATGATGTCATGGCTTTAGAAGCTTCTGAAAGGCTAATTGACATCATTTGAGTCAATTGGAGGTGTACCTGTGGATGTATTTCAAGGCCAACCTTCAAACTCAGTGCCTCTTTGCTTGACATCATGGGCAAAATCTAATAAATCAGCCAAGACCTCAGAAAAAAAATTGTAGACCTCCACAAGTCTGGTTCATCCTTGGGAGCAATTTCCAAATGCCTGAAGGTACCACGTTCATCTGTATAAACAATAGTACGCAAGTATAAACACCATGGGACCACGACAGCGTATACGCCAGGAGGAGACCGTTCGGCTCCTAGAGATGACGTCTTTGTGCATCAATCCAGACAAACGCAAGGACGTGTAGAGCTGGAGGAACGGAGACCCGTGCTGTCTCCTAGAGATGAACGTAATTTGGTGCAAAACAATCCCATGAACAAACAGGTAAAAGGTATCTACAGTGAGGGAAAAAAGTATTTGATCCCCTGCAGATATTGTACGTTTGCCCACTGACAAATAAATTATCAGTCTATAATGTTAATGGTAGGTTTATTTGAACAGTGAGAGACAGAATAACAACAAAAAAATCCAGAAAAATGCATGTCAAAAATGGTATAAACTGATTTGCATTTTAATGAGGAAAATAAGTATTTGACCCCCTCTCAATCAGAAAGATTTCTGGCACCCAGGTGTCTTTTATACAGGTAATGAGCTGAGATTAGGAGCACACTCTTAAAGGGAGTGCTCCTAATCTCAGCTTGTTACCTGTATAAAAGACACCTGTCCACAGAAGCAATCAATCAGATTCCAAACTCTCCACCATGGCCAAGACCAAAGAGCTCTCCAAGGATGTTAGGGACAAGATTGTAGACCTACACAAGGCTGGAATGAGCTACAAGATCATCGCCAAGCAGCTTGGTGAGAAGGTGACAACAGTTGGTGCGATTATTTCACAAATGGAAGAAACACAAAAGAACTGTCAATCTCCCTCGGCCTGGGGCTCCATGCAAGATCTCACCTCGTGGAGTTGCAATGATCATGAGAACGGTGAGGAATCAGCCCAGAACTACACGGGAGGATCTTGTCAATGATCTCAAGGCAGCTGGGACCATAGTAACCAAGAAAACAATTGGTAACACACTACGCCGTGAAGGACTAAAATCCTGCAGCGCCCGTAAGGTCCCCACTGCTCAAGAAAGCACATATACATGCCCGTCTGAAGTTTGCCAATGAACATCTGAATGATTCAGAGGAGAACTGGGTGAAAGTGTTGTGGTCAGATGAGACCAAAATGGAGCTCTTTGGCATCAACTCAACTCACCATGTTTGGAGGAGGAGGAATGCTGCCTATGACCCCAAGAACACCATCCCCACCGTCAAACATGGAGAAACATTATGCTTTGGGGGTGTTTTTCTGCTAAGGGGACAGGACAACTTCACCACATCAAAGGGACGATGGATGGGGCCAAGTACCGTCAAATCTTGGGTGAGAACCTCCTTCCCTCAGCCAGGGCATTGAAAATGGGTCGTGGATGGGTATTCCAGCATGACAATGACCCAAAACACACGGCCAAGGCAACAAAGGAGTGGCTCAAGAAGAAGCACATTAAGGTCCTGGAGTGGCCTAGCCAATCTCCAGACCTTAATCCCATATAAAATCTGTGGAGGGAGCTGAAGGTTCGAGTTGCCAAACGTCAGCCTCGAAACCTTAATGACTTGGAGAAGATCTGCAAAGAGGAGTGGGACCAAATCCCTCCTGAGATGTGTGCAAACCTGGTGGCCAACTACAAGAAACGTCTGCCCTCTGATTGCCAACAAGGGTTTTGCCACCAAGTACTAAGTCATGTTTTGTAGAGAGGTCAAATACTTATTTCCCTCTTTAAAATGCAAATCAATTTATAACATTTTTGACATGCGTTTTTCTGGATTTTTTTGTTGTTATTCTGTCTCTCACTGTTCAAATAAACCTACCATTAAAATTAGACTGATAATTTCTTTGTCAGTGGGCAAACGTACAAAATCTGCAGGGGATCAAATACTTTTTTCCCACACTGTATATCCACAGTAAAACGAGTCCTATATCAACATAACCTGAAAGGACGCTCAGCAAGGAAGAAGCCACTGCTCCAAAACCGCCATAAAAAAGGCAGACTACGGTTTGCAACTGCACATGGGGACAAAGATCGTACTTTTTGGAGAAATGTCTCTGGTCTGATGAAACAAAAATAGAACTGTTTGGCCATAATGACCATCGTTATGTTTGGAGGAAAAAGGGGGGGCTTGCAAGCCGAAGAACACCATCCCAACCGTGAAGCACGGGGGTGGCAGCATCATGCTGTGGGGGTGCTTTGCTGCAGGAGGGACTGACATCAGTCAGGAAGTTAAAGCTTGGTCGCAAATGGGTCTTCCAAATGGACAATGCATACTTCCAAAGTTGTGGCAAAATGGCTTAAGGACAACAAAGTCAAGATATTGGAGTGGCCATCACAAAGCCCTAACTTCAATCCTATAGAAAATGTTTGGGCAGAACTGAAAAAGTGTGTGCGAGCAAGGAGGCCTACAAACCTGACTCAGTTACACCAGCTCTGTCAGGAGGAATGGGACAAAATTCACCCAACTTATTGAAGGCTACCCGAAACATTTGACCCAAGTTAAACAATTTAAAAGGCAATGCTACCAAATACTAATTCATAATTTAATTGAATTGAATTAATAATTTAAACTAATTGAGTGTATGTAAACTTCTGACCCACTGGGAATGTGATGAAATAAATAACAGCTGAAATAAATCATTATCTCTACTATTATTCTGACATTTCACATTCTTAAAATAATGTGGTGATCCTAACTGACCTAAGACAGGGAATTTTTACTAGGATTAAATGTCAGGAATTGTGAAAAACTGAGTTTAAATGTATTTGGCTAAGGTGTATGTAAACTTCCGACTTCAACTGTATGTACGTGTCTTTCGGCGGGGTTGGGTTAAAAGCGGAAGTAAAAATGTTGTTGGACCTTGTGTGCAATTTACTAATAACGTGATCTTGATCTTTAACTGCTACCAAATATAACGTTTCACAGAAACCCACCTCCTCTCTGTCCCACACGCCAGTGCTGAGAGATAAGAGATCTCCCATACCCTACTTCTGCCAACTTATTAATAAGAATCTTTGAGTCTTCTCATCTAAATTGTGTGAAATTGTATAATTTTTAATGTTAGCCATCCATACCTACACTACCAGTCAAAAGTTTGGACACACCTACTCATTCAAGGGTTTTTCTTTATTTTTACATTGTAGAATAATAGTGAAGACATCAAAACTATAAAATAACACATATGGAATCATGTAGTAACCAAAGAAGTGTCATGTAGTAACCTTCAAATAGCCACCCTTTGCCTTGATGACAGCTTTGCGCACTCTTGGCATTCTCTCAACCAGCTTCATGAGCTAGTCACCTGGGAATGCATTTTCAATTAACAGGTGTGCCTTCTTAAAAGTTAATTTGTGGAATTTCTTTCATTCTCAATGTGTTTGAGCCAATCAGTTGTGTTGTGACAAGATAGTGGGGGTATACAGAAGATAGCCCTATTTGGTAAAAGACCAAGTCCATATTATGGCAAGAACAGCTCAAATAAGCAAAGAGAAATGACAGTCCATCATTAGTTTAAGACATGAAGGTCAGTCAATACAGAACATTTCAAGAACTTCGAAAGTTTCTTCAAGTGCAGTCGCAAAAACCATCAAGTGCTATGATGAAACTGGCTCTCATGAGGACCGCCACAGGAATGGAAGACCCAGAGTTATCTGCTGCAGAGGATAAGTTAATTAGAGTTACCAGCCTTAGAAATTGCAGCCCAAATAAATGCTTCACAGAGTTCAAGTCACAGACACATCTCAACATCAACTGTTCAGAGAGGACTGTGTGAATCAGGCCTTCATGGTCGAATTGCTGCGAAGAAACCACTACTAAAGGACACCAATAATAAGAAGAGACCTGCTTGGGCCAAGAAACACGAGCAATGGACATTAGACTGGAGGAAATTTGTCCTTTGGTCTGGAGACAAAATTGGAGATTTTTGGTTCTAACCGCCGTGTCTTTGTGAGACGCGGTGTGGGTGAACGGATGATCTCCGCATGTGTATTTCCCACCGTAAATCATGGAGGAGGTGGTGTTATGTTGTGGGGGTGCTTTGCTGGTGACACTGTCTGTGATTGATTTAGAATTCAAGGCACACTTAACCAGCATGGCTACCACAGCACTCTGCAGCGATACGCCATCCCATCTGGTTTGGGCTTAGTGGGACTATGTTTTGTTTTTCAACAGGACAATGACCCAACACACCTCCAGGCTGTGTAAGGGCTATTTTACCAAGAAGGAGAGTGATGAGTGCTGCATTAGATGACCTGGCCTCCACAATCCCCCGACCTCAACCCAATGGAGATGGTTTGGGATGAATCGGACGGCAGAGTGAAGGAAAAGCAGCCAACAAGTGCTCAGCATATGTGGGAACTCCTTCAAGACTGTTGGAAAAGCATTCCAGATGAAGATGGTTGAGAGAATGCCAAGAGTGTGCAAAGCTGTCATCAAGGCAAAGGGTGGCTACTTTGAAGAATCTCAAATATATTTTGATTTGTTTAACACTTTTTTGGTTACTACATGATTCCATATGTGTTATTTCATAGTTTTGATGTCTTCATTATTATTCTACAATGTAAAAAATAGTAAAAATAAAGAAAAACCCTTGAATGAGTAGGTGTGTCCAAACCTTTGACTGGTACTGTATGTATTTCAGTGTCCATGACTGCCACGTGGGTATAAAAAAAACTATTTGAACTTCAAAGAACTAGGTGGTAAAAGAGACTACGCAAATCCCTACCCTAACTTCCATCCATCCCATCCCTACCTGTTGGGGTAACAGTCCCGGGAGATGGAGGATCAGACAGCGCTCAAAGTCCAGGATGGAGAGCTTGTCGTTGAGGGCCTGTCTCTTTAGACTGAACAGCACCAGGCTCTTAGGACACCCCACCAGGAGGTCTCCGGTCACCCCACAGCACGCCACACACAGCGGACGCTCAAACAATGGAATCTCAATGATCTCCATCTGCTCCTTGGGAGCCCCGCGCAGGGATGAGCCGCGCAGGAAATGGCCCAGCAGACGCACACTAACGCGGGTCTTCTCAGCCGCCTGGTAGCGCCAGTTGGTGTAGGCGCGGAGGTAGGTGGCGTTGTTCTTCTCCTCGATGGTCACCAGGTAGTCCCCTGGGGAGGAGGGGAGGGTGGGATGATTAGGAGTGGGTGGAAAGGGGACGAGGAGTGGGAGGATTAGGAGTGGGTGGAAAGGGGACGAGGGGTGGGAGGATTAGGAGTGGGTAGAAAATGGACGAGGGGTGGGTGGGAGGGAGGGAGGACGACGAGAGGATTAGGAGTGGGTGGAAAGGGGACGAAGGGAGAGAGGCAGGATTAGGGGTGGGTGGGAGGGAGGGGAGGACAGGGATCAAATACAGTTTTATTTGTCACATGCTTCGTAAACAACAGGTGTAGACTAACAGTGAAATGCTTAATTATGTGGATATTGTAATTCTTATGTTCCATATTCAATAGGAAAGTGGCGTTAGGATTAATTCATTTCAGTGCAAGACACTTTTTCATTGAAGGGATACTTCGGGATTTTGGCAATGAGGCCCTTTATCTACTTCCCCAGAGTCTGATGAACTAACATGCTAGCAGATAACCATACTTCCAGTTATTGCGCTAACGCCAGTTAGCATTGGCTTGCAAAACTACCTCTAACTTCCTTCATACTGGACACAAAGACATACAAATTGTATCCACTAGTTCATCTGACTCTGGGGGAAGTAGATAAAGTGCCTCGTTGCCAAAATCATGAAGTATCCCTTTAATACTAGAGATCCAAATTAGGCTTTTTTAAATTATTATTTTTTACACTGCATTTCAACTAACTATTAGCTTGCTATATAGACCAAATCAGAATGTTTGTAGGTGCCCCCAATTACATTTTTTTTCTTCACGGTATTGAAAATCAGACCGTCGGTATTTCAAAATACCCAGGTATACGGTATATCGCCCAAGCCAAGTAGCTAGTTTGCTTCGTTCATGGAGGAAATGCTAGCTAGCTACAAAGATACATTGCCTTGGCTGAAACAGACCTGTATGCTAGCCAGCTAACTCTAATTGCAATGTTGGATAGATAGCTAATCTGTTCCATTTATGAAAAGTATTCAGTATTTTAATTTATCCAATCTTCACCCAACGGCACTGTGCAGCATGTAAACACAGTAGCTAGCTACGTTAGCTCATCTGTAGCTCCCAACTACCTAGCTAACGTTAGCTAATCTGTAGCCCCCAACTACCTAGCTAGTTAGCTAACGTTAGCTCATCTGTAGCCCCCAACTACCTAGCTAGTTAGCTGAGTTCCAGCCATTGTCTCCTCATTTTTTTTGCCATCTTGTTTGAACACCGAATGACCACATGCTGCCTGCTGAGTGCGGTAGCTAGCTAGCTAGTTAGACATCCCTGCCTCAGCCATTGCATATCTTGCCAGCACGCATGAAAGAATGCAGATGAGTCAGTCATGTATTGTTAGCAAGGAGACACAACCCTCGTTTTCAATGAATAAGCTGGCTTGGTAGCTACATCAGCACACATATTTCCTTTCCCGATGCCGATGATGGTTCCATTGCCTGCCATACGTGAGTTGCTGAGCTGGGGCTACGAGGTTATCAGAAAGTGTCCTAGCTAGCCTACTTGTCTGGCATAAGCCATAGCCTACATGTCGAAATGTAATCATTGCAATTTGAGAGTTGTTTTCCTCTGCTAGCCAGGTTTAGACTAGTTGCTAGAAGCTAATGTTATACACAGAAAATAACAACCTATGTTTAAAAGACAATGGGTCCATAATTTAGAACATAAGCAACTATTTACATTTAAAACAGGTTCTCCGGCACAAAATGAGTATCAGCCAATTAAAATCGTTAATTTACTTGCATGTGACAGAACGCTAAATTGTAGCTGGTCCCATCAGATAACATGGCACACGTTAGCCCTATGCTAACCTCACCAGGTGGCACTGATTATATCCTGTATGTTATTTGACTCGAGGAGGATGAGAATTACAAAGTGTACAGTAGGATTGTAGTTTGCACTCTCGTTATCATCCTACAGAAGGCAGTATTGCAGTTCTTTAAAAAAAGTTTATCGCGAGTCCAGAGGACTCGAATCGACAGTAGGAAGGAAGACACTTGGCTGTCATTAGTATATTCTTATGTAGGCTACACTTACATGGAGGCCTACAATGTTTTATAGGCTATGCATTATTATAATCATCCACTTTGTCACAGCAACAAGGACCGTCATTTAACATGTATTTTTCCCTCCAAAAAAAGCTTGTTATGCAAGGGGGGCTCGAACCCACGGTTAAAGTGCACTATCGATTACGAATCAACCGCTTTAGCAGCGTGTGCCACCTAAAAGCGATAATAACAGCCTACAAGACACGTCTTTAAAGGCTCTTCGATAAACGTACATGTTGTAAGGACCAGATTTATATTTTTCCATAAAAGCACATGGATGCGTGTCAAACAGAAACATGGGATTTTATCATATATGCAAAAACGTGAAAATGTTGTCTAATGTTAGTAGTAGCTTAGTGGTTAAGAGCCTTGTGCCAGTAACCGAAAGTTCGCTGGTTCTAATCCCCGAGCCGACTAGGTGAAAAATCTGTCGATGTGCCCTTGAGCAAGGCACTTAACCCTAATTGCTCCTGTAAGTCGCTCTGGATAAGAGCGTCTGCTAAATGACAAAAAAATTAAAATAAAAAAATAAATAAGGATGCGTCAATGCAATATTGGCACACAACATTTTGTTACAGACCAACGGAACAAAAATAAACTTTGAATTTGTAGGTTTAAAATATCAAATCAAATTTTATTGGTCACATGCGCCGAATACAACAGGTGCAGACATTACAGTGAAATGCTTACTTACAGCCCTTAACCAACAGTGCATTTATTTTAAACAAAAAAAGTAAGAATAAAACAACAACAAAAAAAGTGTTGAGAAAAAAAAGAGCAGAAGTAAAATAAAGTGACAGTAGGGAGGCTATATATACAGGGGGGTACCGTTGCAGAGTCAATGTGCGGGGACACCGGCTAGTTGAGGTAGTTGAGGTAATATGTACATGTGGGTAGAGTTAAAGTGACTATGCATAAATACTTAACAGAGTAGCAGCAGCGTAAAAAGGATGGGGTGGGGGGGCAGTGCAAATAGTCCGGGTAGCCATGATTAGCTGTTCAGGAGTCTTATGGCTTGGGGGTAGAAGCTGTTGAGAAGTCTTTTGGACCTAGACTTGGCACTCCGGTACCGCTTGCCGTGCGGTAGCAGAGAGAACAGTCTATGACTAGGGTGGCTGGAGTCTTTGACAATTTTGAGGGCCTTCCATTGACACCGCCTGGTATAGAGGTCCTGGATGGCAGGAAGCTTTGCCCCAGTGATGTACTGGGCCGTACGCACTACCCTCTGTAGTGCCTTGCGGTCGGAGGCCAAGCAGTTGCCATACCAGGCGGTGATGCAACCAGTCAGGATGCTCTCGATGGTGCAGCTGTAGAATTTTTTGAGGATCTGAGGACCCATGCCAAATCTTTTTAGTCTCCTGAGGGGGAATAGGCTTTGTCGTGCCCTCTTCACGACTGTCTTGGTGTGTTTGGACCATGATAGTTCGTTGGTGATGTGGACACCAAGGAACTTGAAGCTCTCAACCTGTTCCACTACAGCCCCGTCGATGAGAATGGGGGCGTGCTCAGTCCTCTTTTTTTTCCTGTAGTCCACAATCATCTCCTTTGTCTTGCAGACGTTGAGGGAGAGGTTGTTGTCCTGGCACCACACGGACAGATCTCTGACCTCCTCCCTATAGGCTGTCTCATCGTTGTCGGTGATCAGGCCTACCACTGTTGTGTCGTCGGCAAACTTAATGATGGTGTTGGAGTCGTGCCTGGCCATGCAGTCATGGGTGAACAGAGAGTACAGGAGGGGACTGAGCACGCACCCCTGAGGGGCCCCCGTGTTGAGGATCAGTGTGGCAGATGTGTTGTTACCTACCCTTACCACCTGGGAGCGGCCCGTCAGGAAGTCCAGGATCCAGTTGCAGAGGGAGGTGTTTAGTCCCAGGATCCTTAGCTTAGTGATGAGCTTAGAGGGCACTATGGTGTTGAATGCTGAGCTGTAGTCAATGAATAGCATTCTCACGTAGGTGTTCCTCTTGTCCAGGTGGGAAAGGGCAGTGTGGAGTGCGATAGAGATTGCATCATCTGTGGATCTGTTGGGGTGGTATGCAAATTGGAGTGGGTCTAGGGTTTCTGGGATAATGCTGTTGATGTGAGCCATGACCAGCCTTTCAAAGCACTTCATGGCTACAGACGTCAGTGCTACGGGTCGGTAGTCATTTAGGCAGGTTATCTTAGAGTCCTTGGGCACGGGGACTATGGTGGTCTGCTTGAAACATGTTGGTATTACAGACTCAGTCAGGGACATGTTGAAAATGTCAGTGAAGACACTTGCCAGTTGGTCAGCACATGCTCGGAGTACACGTCCTGGTAATCCGTCTGGCCCTGCGGCCTTGTGAATGTTGACCTGCTTAAAAGTCTTACTCACATCGGCTACGGAGAGCGTGATCACATAGTCATCCGGAACAGCTGGTGCTCTCATGCATGCTTCAGTGTTGCTTGCCTCGAAGCGAGCATAGAAGTGGTTTAGCTCGTCTGGTAGGCTTGTGTCACTGGGCAGCTCGCGGCTGTGCTTCCCTTTGTAGTCTGTAATAGTTTTCAAGCCCTGCCACATCCGACGAGCGTCAGAGCCAGTGTAGTATGATTCAATCTTAGACCTGTATTGACTCTTTGCCTGTTTGATGGTTCGTCGGAGGTCATAGCGGGATTTCTTATAAGCGTCCGGGTTAGAGTCCCGTTCCTTGAAAGCGGCAGCTCTACCCTTTAGCTCAGTGCGGATGTTTCCTGTAATCCATGGCTTCTGGTTGGGGTATGTACGTACGGTCACTGTGGGGACGACATCATCGATGCACTTATTGATGAAGCCAGTGACTGATGTGGTGTACTCCTCAATGCTGTCTGAAGAATCCCGGAACATGTTCCAGTCTGTGCTAGCAAAACAGTCCTGTAGCTTAGCATCTGCGTCATCTGACCACTTTTTTATTAACCGAGTCACTGGTGCTTCCTGCTTTAGTTTTCGCTTATAAGCAGGAATCAGGAGGATAGAGTTATGGTCAGATTTGCCAAATGGAGGGCGAGGGAGAGCTTTGTATGCGTCTCTGTGTGTGGAGTAAAGGTGGTCTAGAGTTTTTTTCCCTCTGGTTGCACATTTAACATGCTGGTAGAAATTAGGTAGAACGGATTTAAGTTTCCCTGCATTAAAGTCCCCGGCCACTAGGAGCGCTGCATCTGGATGAGCGTTTTCCTGTTGATTAATGGCCTTGTACAACTCATTCAGTGCAATCTTAATGCCAGCATTGGTTTGTGGTGGTAAATAGACAGCTATGAAAAATATAGATGAAAACTCTCTTGGTAATCCACTTTGGACTAATATCCCTCTAGTGGCCAGGGTTGACCTATTTTAAGAAATGCCATTGGTTGGTGGATATAAAGTCAAGATAGGATATAAATCAGTGCCACATGTTGAGGCTAGCATAGGGCTAACGTGTGCCATGTAATCTAATGGGACCAGTTACAATTTAGTGTTCTGTCACGTGTAAGTAAATTGACAATTTTTATTGGCTGATACGCATTTTGTACCTGAGAACCTGTTTAAATGTAAAATGGTTAGTTATGTTCGTATGGACCTAATATTATTGCTTGACTGAGATTCATTATCTATGAATAAGTGAACAGGCGGGGGCTATCATATTATTGCTCGTTGTTTATTGTGAACAAACAGTTTTGGATGTGGCACACTAACCTCACATAGCCAGGTAATGGAGGTAATGGCTCACTAACGCCCTCTGCTGGATTCTTTCGCGATTACGTCACGAAATAGAAATGCGACATTGACAATGGTTCATGTCATTGGAAAGTCAATTTTGCCGGCTCCTTACGGTACTGTTAACTAAACTCAGTAAAAAAAGAAACGTCCCTTTTCCAGGACCCTGTCTTTCAAAGATAATTCATAAAAATCAAAATAACTTCACAGATCTTCATTGTAAAGGGTTTAAACACTTTTTCCATGCTTGTTCAATGAACCATAAACAATGAATGAACATGCACTCGAACGGTCGTTAAGACACTAACAGCTTACAGACGGTAGGCAATTAAGGTCACTGTTATGAAAATTTAGGACACTAAAGAGGCCTTTCTACTGACTCTGAAAAACACCAAAAGAAAGATGCCCAGGGTCCCTGCTCATCTGCGTGAACATGCCTTAGGCATGCTGCAAGGAAGCATGAGGACTGCAGATGTGGCCAGGGCAATAAATTGCAATGTCCGTACTGTGAGACGCCTACAACAGCGCTACAGGGAGACAGGACGGACAGCTGATCGCCCTCGCAGTGGCAGACCACGTGTAACAACACCTGCACAGGATCGGTACATCCGAACATCACACCTGCAGGACAGGTACAGGATGGCAACAACAACTACCCGAGTTACACCAGGAACGCACAATCCCTCCATCAGTGCTCAGACTGTCCGCAATAGGCTGAGAGAGGCTGGACTGAGGGCTTGTAGGCCTGTTGTAAGGCAGGTCCTCACCAGACATCTATTGTAGGACTGGCAAAAAGTGCTCTTCACTGACGAGTCGCGGTTTTGTCTCACCAGGGGTGATGGTCGGATTCGCGTTTATCGTCGAAGGAATGAGCGTTACACCGAGACCTGTACTCTGGAGCGGGAATCGATTTGGAGGTGGAGGGTCCATCATGGTCTGGGGCGGTGTGTCACAGCATCATCGGACTGAGCTTGTTGTCATTGCAGGCAATCTCAATGCTGTGCGTTACAGGGAAGACATCCTATGAGATTACTGATTTGTAAATACATAGCACAACCTTGCAGAGAACCATGCACAAAACACAACTTTCTCCACCCGGAACAACATTTTCTTTCTATTCTGACATCATGGTGATCTCTCGTATACACATAGATCGTGTCATGATTGACACATTGTAACAGGCCCACAATGTGGTTACTTAAACCCGCCTCTACTTATTTACATAAGTATTCAGACCCTTTGCTACGAGAGTCGAAATTGAGCTCAGGTGCATCCTGTTTCCATTGATCATCCTTGAGATGTTTCTACAACTTGAATGGAGTCCACCTGTGGTAAATTCAATTGATTGGACATGATTTGAAAAGGCACACACCTGTCTATTTACAGTGAGGGAAAAAAAAGTATTTGATCCCCTGCTGATTTTGTATGTTTGCCCACTGACAAAGACCTGATCAGTCTATAATTTTAATGGTAGGTTTATTTGAACAGTGAGATACAGAATAACAACAAAATCCAGAAAAACGCATGTCAAAAATTTTATAAATTGATTTGCATTTTAATGAGGGAAATAAGTATTTGACCCCTCTGCAAAACATGACTTAGTACTTGGTGGCAAAACCCTTGTTGGCAATCACAGAGGTCAGACGTTTCTTGTAGTTGGCCACCAGGTTTGCACACATCTCAGGAGGGATTTCGTCCCACTCCTCTTTGCAGATCTTCTCCAAGTCATTAAGGTTTCGAGGCTGACGTTTGGCAACTCGAACCTTAAATTCCCACAGATGTTCTATGGGATGAAGGTCTGGAGACTGGCTAGGCCACTCCAGGACCTTAAGGCATACAGAGGCCAAATCAAGCTCCGTCCCACATCGCTGTGCGCCTCTCAAATGTTTTAATAATGCGGAGGGCTCTGTATAGCTCTACGGTAGGTTGGGGCGGTACGTCCTGTATAAACACAAACTCACTTCCTTGACAACTTCCTTCACAATACCTCTGCTCTGCTAAGCTAAGAGCAAGAAGTATGAAAGCCCTGATGTCTGTGGAGGCTGCGTCGCAGTAAATACTGTACGGCCACTTCAGATGTCGGATTGACCATGCAGAGCCTTTAATTATACCGTGGCATTGTTGAATACTTGTTTCTAATTGGCTTGAAGGGCATTCTAGCGAGAGCATTATTTCCCTATAACGCACAGTATATTTGCCCGGTAGAATTCAATGGCTATGGTTCATTCTTACATGTTCGAGCTGCTTCTGAATGCAAAAGTCGAGTTGAAAAAAATGATTGTTCAATTTGATTTTCATAATAGCAAGCTAGGACTAAAGGCATCAGCATGCTTCAGTTTGGCTGACAGCAAGCCGAAGTCGGCTAGGAACCGAACGAGTTCGCACTCTCCCTTAAAAAGACCTTCGCTTGAAAAACCAGAAAAAAAGTGGCCCATTTTGAGATGCCGTAGCCACTCAAAGGTCAGAATTAATCTAAAATGTATTAAAGAATCCTTACTGTTGACCAATAACCGACAAAGAGGCATAGACCTCGGAGCCGAACTTCAGCTTGCCTCTAGAAAAAAAATGTGTGTGCCCGAACAGCCGAAAAAAAACAACTCTTCACCTAAATCCAAAAAACTAACAAAAACGTCACTAAATGTCGTCATAATATATGCACAAACTCTTCTGAACTGTTTCGGCTGGGAAGCATGCGGACACCTTGGTTTGGTTAGCTAAACTAGCAAGTCTGTTTGTTTGGCTACCAAGGCAACTATTGTAGCTATCTAATAAACTTGCTAGCTACACTACATGACCAGAAGTATTTGGAGACCTGCTCGTCCAACATCTCATTCCAAAAGCATGGGCATTAATATGGAGTTGGTCCCCCCTATGCTGCTATAACAGCCTCCACTCTTCTGGGAAGGCTTTCCACTAGATGTTGGAACATTGCTGCAGGGAGTTGCTTCCATTCAGCCACAAGAGCATTACTGAGGTCGGCACTGATGTTGGGCGATTAGGCCTGGCTCGCAGTAGGCGTTCCAATTCATCCCAAAGGTGTTCGATGGGGTTGAGGTCAGGGCTCTGTGCAGGCCAGTCAAGTTCTTCCACACCGATCTCGACAAACCATTTCTGTATGGACCTCGCTTTGTGCACGAGGGCATTGTCATGCTGAAACAGGAAAGGACCTTCCCCGAACTGTTGCCACAAAAGTTGTAAACACAGAATCGTCTAGAATGTAATTCCATGCTGTAGCGTTAAGATTTCCCTTCACTGGAACTAAGGGGCCTAGCCCGAACCATGAAAGACAGCCTCAGACCATTATTCCTCCTCCACCAAACTTTACAGTTGGCAGTATGCATTGGGGCAGGTAGCGTTCTCCTGGCATCCTCCAAACCCAGATTTGTCCGTTGGACTGCCAGATGGTGAAGCGTGACTCATCACTCCGGCGAATGCGTTTCCACTGCTCCAGAGTCCAATGGCGGCTAAATCTACACCACTCCAGCTAACTCTTGGCATTGCGCATGGTGATCTTAGGCTTGTGTGCAGCTGCTCGGCAATGGAAAGTAATTTCATGAAGCTCCCGACAAACAGTTATTGTGCGTACGTTGCTTCCAGAGGGATTGGAACTCTGTAGTGAGTGTCGCAACCGAGGACAGACAACTTTTACGTGCTTCAGCGGTTCTGTTCTGTGAGCTTGTATGGCCTACCACTTTGCGCCTGAGCCATTGCTGCTCCTAGATGTTTCAACTTCACAATAACAGCACTTACAGTTGACCGGGGAAGCTCTAGCAGGGCAGAAGTTTGACAAACTGACTTGTTGGAAAGGTGGCATCCTATGACGGTGCCACGTTGAAAGTCACTGAGCTCATCAGTTAGGCCATTCTACTGCCAATGTTTGTCTATGGAGATTGCATGGCTGTGTGCTCGATTTTATACACCTGTCAGCAACAGGTGTGGCTGAAATAGCCGAATCTACTAATTTGAAGTGGTGTCCACCTACTTTTGGCCATGTAGTGTACTTCAGTGGACGTTGAAAACATTTCTAGCCATGGTATAATCAACTCAGGGCTCTATGTGTGTGCTCTGGAACATAATGCAACTCTGAGAAAGGTTAGGATAATACCTCTACTGGCATTCATTTAAATTAGACTGGTTTGGATTTCTCCCTGACCAATATGGCTGCCATTTTCACACCATTCTCGAACTTTTGAGGGTTCATGACAAAACCCCTCTAGTAATTTGATGCACCTCAATCACTCAGCAGTAAACAACAGTGCAAAGAGGGAAAGAATAAGTGAGAGAAAGTGGCACACCTATCTCGCTGTGTAGGATGCTCTGCACAGTCCCCATGGTGGCGAAGCGGCAGATGAGAGGACACCCCTCCTCTCCCAGTTGAAAACACTCGATCTTGCATCCTCCAGCGGACACCACGAATAGGGCACCTCCGCCACAGCACACCAACCCCGGTTCCTGCTCGGTTGGCACGATTTGCTGGGACGCGAAAGGGTGGCAGTTGTATACGTGAACCATGTTTACTTGTTTTCCTAAATTACGTTGAGAAACACGATTTATACACCAAGCTAACTACATTGTCCCTGTCCGGAGAACCCAGGGCTTGTGTTACCAAATATATGGTGGTGTTACTGTCTCTATCGCGGTTAGCCAGCTACACCCGAGGCTAGCTAGATTACTTGATCGATATCACATGCCCCGCAGTCTTGTGATGAGCAGGCAGAATTAGTTGAACTCGAAAATTATTTTTTTTACCCAGTCTCTGGTAAGTTTACTCCACTTGCTCTGCCAATTGAAGTCCCCTTTCTACACAGAAATCATAATCTTACGTATATCTATAGGAACAAAGTTTTAAAGTAATCTGAAACAGAAAGTATGAAGCGTTTATGCTGTGAATGTGACAACTAGAAAAAAACGACCCCACCTCCAGCGTTGATTGGTTGAGTTCCCTGTCAGTAAGGCGCTCCGGCTTTCAATACGCTGTGAAAGTCCCGCCTTCTTCTGCTTCTTCTTCTATTCTTGTCATTTAGCAGACGCTCTTATCCAGAGCGATTTACAGGAGCAATTAGGGTTAAGTGCCTTGCTTAAGGGCACATCGACAGATTTTTCACCTAGTCGGCTCGGGGATTAGAACCAGCGACCTTTCGGTCACTGGCACAACGCTCTTACCCACTAAGCTACCTGCCGCTCTTCTTCGGTGAGGTTTAACGGCGGTTTTTATCCAATTTATGTTTCATTACTGTCACCGACTAGACTGGGATATACATCCATTATACTTTGTTCCACAAAACGAAAAAAATAAATAATAATAATAAATTAAAATAAAACCCTACACGAATTAATCCTTAAGAGTCTATGGTGCGTCAATCTAAGTAACATAATAAAAAAATCCCCATCAAAATCCGTCAATTTAAAATATCATTTATTTTTGCATGGGCTGCATCTCAATTAGCATCATCAGCCTATGTCGGCCTTCCGTATCTGTGGTGGAAGGTGGATAAAATACAGTGCCGTTTGTCAGACCATGAGAAATCCCAAAAATCGGTCTTCTCACAAAAACGTCTGTAGCGTCCGAACGGTTTGGCCTTCAAACTAATGTGACCACTCTATGGAAAGATGAGACTCTCACGAACATGATGTTGTTCTCCCCACAAGTGTCACGGGACTCATCTGAAGGTAACCCATACAAATGAATGGAAATATGGAGGTCGTTTTGTGCCAACAGAAATAAGGGGTTCATGTGTAAAGAAAAAGAAAATATTTCCTGAACGTTCTTATATCTCCTAGATATAGGGCAGACACTTCAAAACGTTATTCCTTATGATACATTTTTTGACTGTCATTTTTGCCATTTATGAATGTGTTATTCAACTAGTTTCTATGGGCTATAATAGCAAAGGCCAAATTCAATATTTTATAAAATAATGTAAGACTTTTCTCATATATACCTAAAGGGGTCCTAAAATGTCAAATCAAATAGCTAAATGATCCCAGGCCAACGGCGGACAGGACACAACCACTCAACACACCCTGTAACTCTTCTAAAGTCAAATCTCGTAGCCCCAAATATTTCTCTGCCGCTGCCACTACAGTTTTCTGTAACTTACATTCCATCTCTGCTGTACAGTTGATAACCATAGCTATGAACTCTTAAGAATCCAACCTTACTAAAGCATACAGTACCGGTCAAAAGTTTGGACACACCTACTCATTCAAGGGTTTTTCTTTATTTTTACTATTTTCTACATTGTAGAATAATAGTGAAGACATCATAACTATGAAATAACACATATGGAATCATTTAGTAACCAAAAAAGTGTTAAACAAATCAAAATATACAGATGAAGTCGGAAGTTTACATACACTTAGGTTGGAGTCATTAAAACTCGTTTTTCAACCACTCCACAAATTTCTCGTTAACAAACTATAGTTTTGGCAAGTTGGTTAGGACATCTACTTTGTGCATGACACAAGTAATTTTTCCAACAATTGTTTACAGACAGATTATTTCACTTATAATTCACTGTATCACAATTCCAGTGGGTCAGAAGTTTACATACACGAAGTTGACTGTGCCTTTAAACAGCTTGGAAAATTCCAGAAAATGATGTCATGGCTTTAGAAGCTTCTGATAGGCTAATTGACATCATTTGAGTCAATTGGAGGTGTACCTGTGGATGTATTTCAAGGCCTACCTTCAAACTCAGTGCCTCTTTGCTTGACATCATGGGAAAATGAAAAGAAATCAGCCAAGACCTCAGAAAAAAAATTGTAGACCTCCACAAGTCTGGTTCATCCTTGGGAGCAATTTCCAAACGGCTGAAGGTACCATGTTCATCTGTACAAACAATAGTACGCAAGTATAAACACCATGGGACCACGCAGCCGTCATACCGCACAGGAAGGAGACGTGTTCTGTCTCCTAGAGATGAACGTACTTTGGTGCGAAAAGTGCAAATCAATCCCAGAAAAACAGCAAAGGACCTTGTGAAGATGCTGGAGGAAACAGGTACAAAAGTATCTATATCCACAGTAAAACTAGCCCTATATCGACATAACCTGAAAGGCCGCTCAGCAAGGAAGAAACCACTGCTCCAAAACCGCCATAAAAAAGCCAGAGTACGGATTGCAACTGCACATGGGGACAAAGATCGTACTTTTTGGAGAAATGTCCTCTGGTCTGATGAAACAAAAATAGAACTGTTTGCCATAATGACCATCGTTATGTTTGGAGGAAAAGTGGGGTTGCTTGCAAGCCGAAGAACACCATCCCAATCGTGAAGCACCGTGTTGGCAGCATCATGCTGTGGGGGTGCTTTGCTGCAGGAGGGACTGGTGCACTTCACAAAATAGATGGCATCATGAGGAAGGGAAATTATGTGGATATATTGAAGCAACATCTCAAGACATCAGTCAGGAAGTTAAAGCTTGGTCGCAAATGGGTCCTCCAAATGGACAATGACCCCAAGCATACTTCCAAAGTTGTGGCAAAATGGCTTAAGGACAACAAAGTCAAGGTATTGGAGTGGCCATCACAAAGCCCTGACCTCAATCCTATAGAAAATGTGTGGGGAGAATTGAAAAAGCGTGTGCGAGCAAGGAGGCCTACAAACCTGACTCAGTTACACCAGCTCTGTCAGGAGGAATGGGTCAAAATTCACCCAGCTTATTGTGGGAAGCTTGTGGAAGGCTACCCGAAACGTTTGACCCAAGTTAAACAATTTAAAGTCAATGCTACCAAATACTAATTGAGTGTATGTAAACTTCTGACCCACTGGGAATGTGATGTAATAAATAAAAGCTGAAATAAATAATTCTCTCTACTATTATTCTGACATTTCACATTCTTAAAATAAAGTGGTGATCCTAACTGACCTAAGACAGGGAATTTTTACTAGTATTAAATGTCAGGAATTGTGAAAAAATGAGTTTAAATGTATTTGGCTAAGGTGTATGTAAACTTGCGACTTCAACTGTATTTTATATTTGAGATTCTTCAAAGTAGCCACCCTTTGCCTTGATGACAGCTTTGCACACTCTTGGCATTCTCTCAACCAGCTTCATGAGGTAGTCACCTGGAATGCATTTCAATTAACAGGTGTGCCTTGTTAAAAGTTAATTTGTGGAATTTATTTCCTTCTTAATGCGTTTGAACCAATCAGTCCAAGTGCTATGATGAAACTGGCTCTCATGAGGACCGGCACAGGAAAGGAAGACCCAGAGTGACCTCTGCTGCATAGGATAGGTTGATTAGAGTTAACTGCACCTCAGATTGCAGCCCAAATAAATGTTTCACAGAGTTCAAGTAACAGACACATCTCAACATCAACTGTTCAGAGGAGACTGCGTGAATCAGGCCTTCATTGGTCGAATTGCTGCAAAGAAACCACTACTAAAGGACACCAATAAGAAGAAGAGACTTGCTTGGGCCAAGAAACATGAGCAATGGACATTAGACCAGTGGAAATCTGTCCTTTGGTCTGATGAGTCCAAATTTGAGATTTTTGGTTCCAACCGCCGTGTCTTTGTGAGACGCAGAGTAGGTGAACGGATGATCTCCACATGTGTGGTTTCCACCGTGAAGCATGGAGGAGGAGGTGTGATTGTGTGGGGGTGCTTTGCTGGTGACACTGTGATTTATTTAGAATTCAATGCACACTTAACCAGCATGGCTACCACAGCATTCTGCAGCGATACGCCATCCCATCTTGTTTGCGTTTAGTGGGATCATTTGTTTTTCAACAGATGAGATACAGGTTTTGTCAAATTGAACTCAAAAAGTAGATTTTTTTTGCATTTTAGCTAACCCTAACACTTTTCGGTTGAATTTAGCTTAGGGGGAATTTAGGAGTAATATTCTTCAAGAATCAATGGGTACATATAATTAATTTTAAGTCCAAAAATGGATGTAGCAACTGCAGATTGCCCCTTTAACCTAATTCTCCTAACCTGCTACGTTAATTCTCCTAACCTGCTGTGTAGGTTCTCCTAACCTGCTATGAAAAGTCAATTTTGACAAAAAAATGTATCCCTTCTAGACAAAACCGATATTTACCAATTGTGAATTAAATAAATAAATACCTGTTGGATGCATTCACATGCTTTGAACTTGATGAGAAACACTGATTGGCTAATGGCCAACAAGCTGCGTCAACCATACACTAAAAGTACAGCTATCATGCTTGTGAACAAATTACAGTGTTCAAAAACCATATTATTAGATAGTTTTTTTTATAAATAATGTTTTGTTGTTACATTTAACTGCAGAACATGTTGTTATCGAGGTCATTTCCTTAGTAGGTGAAGTCAGAGGTCAGCATGTGGGAGAAGTCGGAGCTCAGGGATGATAGACGAGTTTCCCGCTAGTAATACGCCATGAAAGTGGTACTTCCTGGTTCCTTATTACATTTACATTTACGTCATTTAGCAGACGCTCTCATCCAGAGCGATTTATTTCTGCATTGTCGAGAAGGAACCTGCAAGTGAGCATTTCTTTGGATGATGTACAGTGAGCGAAA